AAAAAAGCAGCAACTTACCAGTAACATTCAGTGTTACGCTTGTCTCTTCTGAAGAAGTCTTGTTCTTCGCAGTCAATTTGTATACACCTTGATGTTCTGGTCTCACTTCATGAATCGAGTATATGTGACGCATATCTTCCACACTTGTGAATTTCACTTCTTTACCATCTTTTGTCAACTGTACTTTCGGGGCTTCTTTCCCATCTATATCAGCCAAGAATTCGAACGGCTCGCCAACTTTCAAGTCAACGACTTCTGATGTTGGACCAATCTTGGTGAGCTTCACGGGCTCCAATACAGTTAATACACAAGGTGTAGAATCCGCTTCTCCAAGTTCACTAATTAAGACAACACGATACGTTCCCTCACTGCTTGCAACAGTTGGTTCTTTCAATAGAAGTTGATATTCACTCTTCTCTTCGTCGTATGAACTATTTGCTGATGTCATCATTATATCATTAAAGAACCATTCAGCATCCGGCCGTGGAGATCCCCGAACAACAACTCGTAATGTCACATCCTTACCACTCACCGTTTCTTCTTGTTTCCGAAGTTGTGTTACAATCAGTGGCGCAGCAAGAACATTCAGGTGAACAGTTTCTTCTTGGCTGCCATGTACATTTTCAAGACGACATGTGACTGATCCTGCATGTTGCTGTAAATCAACTTTAGGTATAGTTAATTTAGCATCACCCGTAGGAGCATTCATTTCGATTTGAGCACCATCTTTTGGTGTCAATGGTTTTCCATTGAGTAGCCACATTACTTTCGGTATCGGATAACCATCAACTTTCGTTTCGAATACTGCATTTTCGCCCTGTTGGACTTCTTGTGTTGTCGGTTTCGCGAGAAATTCAGGTGTTTCTACAAAACATATTCAGGTATGGCACATATCCGTCAAAAAATATACTTACTGGTAACAGTGACTTTGCATTTCTTTGTTTTAAGTGTTCCACCGACATTGGTTACTTTTGCTGAATAATCTCCCTGATCTTCCGGTTGAACATTTAGGATGGTTATGGTGTATGTATCATCTCCGTCTTCTGTTGGTGCACTCACTTGAATACGATCGCTTGGAACGAGCTCATCATTGCCACGAATCCAAACAATATCCGGTCTTGGTGTGCCAGTAGCCGATAATTTAATTGTCATAGATTCACCTTTCGTCGCTTGTAAAGTAGCATCAAGATCAGTTGTTAGCACTGGTTTAATACCAGCAATATTCAATGTTGTTTTAGCTTCAGCTACGCCGACTGCATTTGTAGCCTTAGCAGTGTAAACACCCTTATCGGTGAGTTCGGCTTTTTGAATAGATAATGTTGAAGTTCCATCTTCTGTTTCAGTAATATGAAAACGTTCGATAGTCTCCAAGGGTTCCCCATTGAAGAGCCATGTTACTTCAGGCTTTTCAATGCCACTAAATTTCCATGAGATTTGGGTGTCTTGTCCAATGGTACATGTCTGATCATTAGCTGGTTTAGTTGCTTCAACTTTTGGTTTAACTGAAATAGGAAATAAAAGGTGCCTGAAATTTTTTACTCTAAAAATAGTTACCTCCAACATGCAGCTTAGCAGTTTGTTCGGTATTCTCAATTCCGTTATCGATGCGTGCGCGATAGGTACCAACATCTGGATGGTCGCATTTATTGACGGTCAGTGTATATAGAGTAGGTTTCGCTTCGATTTTATGCTTTGTTGTATTTTTCAATTCTGTGTCGTTGAAGTACCTAGTTATATTGAATATTCAATAAATAGTTACGTGATTAAAATATAGTTTACAGACCATGTAACTTTTGGTACAGGAAATGCATCGCATGTTAAAGTCAAGGTGCCAGGTTGGCCAAGAAGTACATGAATATCACTCAATGGTTGTGACACGTCCAAGGGTGCTAAAATAAGAACAAATAAGTTACTTGATTCGTTTTCAGTATAAAATAATTTCCATAACATTTCTTTGCTTCTATCAAGTTATCTTCTATGAAAAATGCTATTAAAATATTATGTATGGTTCCTCTTTATAGATAGCAGAAGATGCAAAATCATTTTGATCCATTGAAACATGTGACAGTTTAGTGACATGTTAGGGATAGACGGATGCTTCGATTGTTGCTGCAACGACATTTATAATGCGGGATTCTGAAAGAAGAATGGGCTCAAAAATGTTCCTGCTTTTCAGTGAACTTGAAAACAGAACTATCAGATGGACATATCTAGCAATTTTCATATACTACATAAACTAGGCAATATTATCAAACAGAAAACAATAGTCTTGGACACTTTATTCCCAAGTGTACTTTCTTGATTCGAATCCCTTTAAAAGACTAATTTCATTTTTACCTAACACTAAATAAGATGCAAATCTAATTACTAGATGACTTCACACATAGCACTTTCAAATGCAAGAATATTTTGACTCAAGAAAAGAACATCTCGTGAGGCAATTATTCCCTTTGTTCAGCAGACACGGTGACTTTCTTTAAACCCGATTTAATCAGTTCAGTAAGAAAAACAGAGCGCTTATTGAATTCAGCTAACAATCTATACAGAAAAATAAAAAAAGCAGCAACTTACCAGTAACATTCAGTGTTACGCTTGTCTCTTCTGAAGAAGTCTTGTTCTTCGCAGTCAATTTGTATACACCTTGATGTTCTGGTCTCACTTCATGAATCGAGTATATGTGACGCATATCTTCCACACTTGTGAATTTCACTTCTTTACCATCTTTTGTCAACTGTACTTTCGGGGCTTCTTTCCCATCTATATCAGCCAAGAATTCGAACGGCTCGCCAACTTTCAAGTCAACGACTTCTGATGTTGGACCAATCTTGGTGAGCTTCACGGGCTCCAATACAGTTAATACACAAGGTGTAGAATCCGCTTCTCCAAGTTCACTAATTAAGACAACACGATACGTTCCCTCACTGNCTCAATGGAAAACCATTGACACCAAAAGATGGTGCTCAAATCGAAATGAATGCTCCTACGGGTGATGCTAAATTAACTATATCTAAAGTTGATTTACAGCAACATGCAGGATCAGTCACATGTCGTCTTGAAAATGTACATGGCAGCCAAGAAGAAACTGTTCATCTGAATGTTCTTGCTGCGCCACTGATTACAACACAACTTCCGAAACAAGAAGAAACGGTGAGTGGCAAGGATGTGACATTACGAGTTGTTGTTCGCGGATCTCCACGACCGGATGCTGAATGGTTCTTTAATGATACACCAATCACACCGGAGAATACTTCATATGATGAAGAGAAGAGTGAATATCAACTTCTATTGAAAGAACCATCTGTTACAAGCAGCGAAGGAACGTATCGTGTTGTGTTGAAGAATGAGCTTGGAGAAACCGAATCAACACCATGCCTATTGATTGTATTGGAACCAGTAAAATTGACTAAGATCGCTCCTACAACAGATCTTGTTGATTTAAAGGTCGGTGAACCATTTGAAATTTCTGTTGACGCTGATGGAAAAGAAGCCCCGAAAGTACAATTAACAAAAGATGGTAAAGAAATGAAATTCACAAGTGTGGAAGGTACACGACATGTATACTCAGTGGCAGAGGTGAAACCAGAACATCAAGGTATATACAAAGTTACAGCGAAAAATAAGACATCAGCAGAAGAAACAGGCGTCAATTTAAATGTGACAGGTAAATAGCGCGTGATTTGTATTTTTTCGGATAGTTCATAGTAACTGAATTGAGTTTAATGGGACAAACATACGTTTTATCGGAATGGTTTATTGTATTTGTTTTTGTTTTTGTTTAGCACCGTTGAGTGTTAGTCAACCACTTGCTGATATCAATGTTTTGATGGGGCAAGGTGGCATATTTTCGTTCATTTGCGATGCATTTCCAGCACCAAAAGTTACATGGTATGTTTATTATTTTATGATAACTTTGATAGTTTTCTACATTTCGAAATGTATCTGCTCATAGGTTCGCGAATGATAATGAATTGAAAAATTCGACTAAACATAAGATTGAAGCGAAACAAAATCTTTTTACGTTGTCGGTAAATAAATGTGATAATGGCGATATTGGTACTTATCGTGCTCATATGGACAACGGCATCGAGATAGGTGACCAAACTGCTAAACTCAATGTTGGTACTAAGCCAACTGTTGTCGGAAAACCAGTAGATCTTCAGGTACAAATTGGGCAACCAGCTCGTCTTCAAGTACAATTCACCGGGCAACCAATACCGGACATAACATGGTCAAGAGTAGATGGTCAACCACTCAGTGAACATGTCAAAATTGAAAATGATGAAAAAGGTCTTGCCGTATTGGTATTCGATTCGACAATATTACCTGATAAAGGTAGCTACGTAGCAAAAGCAACAAATATTGTTGGATTTGTCGAACAAAAGATCAATTTAGATGTCAAAGGTATATAGAATTTCTTTCAAAAACTATACGTCATATTCATACGGCATTTATTCTGTCTAATTTAGAAATTAAACCAATAATTATTCGTGATCTTGAACCAGCAATCAATGCCACTAAAGGTGAACCAATGACATTAACTATCGGTGCAAATGGTAATCCAAAACCAACAGCTCGGTTCTTCCGTGGTGTAGAAGAAATACTTCCTATTGAAGGTCAAATTGAATTCAAAGAATCTGAAGATGGTCAAACATTTACAGCAACTATTCTTAGTATGCAGCCAAATCAACAAGGTGATTATATAGCAACTGTTCAGAATAGCGGTGGCATGGTGAAGAGTAAGAAATGTAAAGTAACTGTTACAAGTAAGTCATTGTATTTTTCAATAAGTAATAAAAAAACAAACTAATTATTCTACCATCTAGAAACTCCAATGTTTGTTCGTACACCACAAGATTTAACTGTTGCAGATAAATCTGAAGCTGTTTTCGAATGTGAAATTGATGCATTTCCAGTTGCAAAAGTTACTTGGTCAAAAGACGGAAAACCTTTAACGGTTAAGGATGGTGCTGAAACTCAAGCACAAACTGATAAAGGTCTTTACACACTTCGTATTCCTCAAATTGATTCAACTAAACATATGGGTACAATAATATGTCGCGCAGAGAATGCTATTGGCAATGTTGAACATCCATTTCAATTGAATATTACAACAGCTCCAACATGGAAGGCGCAATTAAAAGATATTGATGTTTTACGAGGACAAGATGCAATACTTTCAATTGACTATCAAGGTTATCCAATGCCGGAAATCATTTGGAATCGTGCTGATAAAGTGCTTGAAAGTGACAATGAAAAAATCATGTTTTCAGAAGATCGAAAACAATTAACTATACGTAATGTACAAATTGAAAGCGAAGATGAATATAATGTACGAATCGTAAATGAATTTGGTGAAATAACTAGTAAAGGAAAATTAAATGTCTTAGGTAATATTATATTTCGATCATATGTTCTTTCACGATTGAATTATGCTTATTATTTTTCTGTTTAAAGAACTTCCGGAAATTCAACCATTATTGGTAGATAAAGATATTCAAATTCGTGAACAAATCGAATATTCAACAACCATAACTGGACGACCACTACCAGAAATTCAATGGTTGAAGAATCAAAAACCATTAACTGCTTCACCGCCGCATATTATTATTGAAACAGTTGAAGAAGATGTTATAAAAACTACACTTCGTATTGATAATATTGTATCTGATGATGATGGTACATACACGATACGTGCTAAAAATCGTGCTGGTCAAAAAGAATCATCATCAAAATTAAATGTTTTGGCTAAATTGAAATTTTCTAAAGCAATTCAAGATGAAAATATCATTCAAGGACAACCAGTTACATTTCAATGTCAAATAGAAGCAATACCAAAACCAAAAGTAACATTTTATATCAATGATCAAGAAGTAAAATCAACAGCAAAAATAAAAGTTGAAGCAAAAGGAGATGTATATACATTGGCATTTTCTAAAGTTGATTTACCTGATAGTGGAACAATTAAAGTTGTTGCTGACAATGGCACAGATAAAAGTGAAATAACTGCAAAATTAAATGTTTGCTTAAAACCAAGTCTTGTTGGAAAACCAACCGAAGCTCAAGTTTCCATTGGACAGCCAGCAAGAATACAATGTACTTTTACTGGTTTACCAATGCCACAATTGACATGGTCACGTGTTGATGGACAACCATTGAATGAAGGAATTGAAATAGCTAATGATGAAAACTCAGGCATAGCAGCTCTAGTTTTTAATACAACAACAATGACTGATAAAGGTGCATATCTTGTAAAAGCAACCAATATCGTTGGTGCTGCTGAACAAAAAGTGAATCTTGATGTTAAAGGTTGGTTTCTTTTGTTTTTTTTCCGCTTCTTGTTTTTTTTTACTATACTCATTATTTAGAAATTAAACCAATAATTATTCGTGATCTTGAACCAGCAATCAATGCTACTAAAGGTGAACCAATGACATTAACTATCGGTGCAAATGGTAATCCAAAACCAACAGCTCGGTTCTTCCGTGGTGTAGAAGAAATACTTCCTATTGAAGGTCAAATTGAATTCAAAGAATCTGAAGATGGCCAAACATTTACAGCAACTATTCTTAGTATGCAGCCAAATCAACAAGGTGATTATATAGCAACTGTTCAGAATAGCGGTGGCATGGTGAAGAGTAAGAAATGTAAAGTAACTGTTACAAGTAAGTCATTGTATTTTTCAATAAGTAATAAAAAAACAAACTAATTATTCTACCATCTAGAAACTCCAATGTTTGTTCGTACACCACAAGATTTAACTGTTGCAGATAAATCTGAAGCTGTTTTCGAATGTGAAATTGATGCATATCCAAATGCTAAAGTATCATGGATTCGTGATGGTAAACCATTGAATGTTAAAGATGGTGTTGAAACTCAAGCACAACCTGATAAAGGCATCTATACACTTCGTATTCCTCAAACTGATTCAATTAAACATATGGGTACAATAATATGTCGCGCAGAAAATGCTATTGGCAATGTTGAACATCCATTTCAATTGAATATTACAACAGCTCCTGCAATAAAAACACAATTAAAAGATCTTGAAACTTTACGAGGATTAGATGCCATATTTATTGTTGATGTTCAAGGCTATCCCTTACCGGAATTAACATGGCTCCATGGAGAAGAACAATTAATTGAATCAAACGATAAATATACTTGGTCCGATGATCAACATCGTCAATTAGTAATTCATAATGTTCAAGTAACAGATGAAGATGAATATTATGTTCGAATACGTAATGAATTCGGTGAAGTTACAAGTAAAGCTAAACTTTCATGTTTAAGTATGTTATTTTACTCAATAGCTTCTCTTCGATTTTAACTTCTATCATTCATTTATTGTTTTAGTTACGCCAAGAATATCGCCTGCTACTGTGGATGATACAATATTACAACGTGGCGATGAAATTGAATATCAATTTGAAATCGAAGGTCGTCCACAAGTTGATGTAACATGGTCCAAGAATGGAAAAGAACTTAAATTAAATGAAAATCCAAATTATATCTTTACATCTGATAAAGAAAACAATAAAGAAATATTTAAAATTGTTAAAGCTGATGGTGATGATCAAGCACGTTATACATTACAAATTAAAAATAAAGTTGGCAAAATCGAAGTCAATATAAATATAATTGTTAAGGCTAGTTTACAATTTGTTAAAAAACTTACTGATGTTGCAGCAACTGTTGGACAACCAGTTACATTTTCATGTGAATGTTTTGGTTTGCCAAAACCAACAGCAACTACTTGGTATTTCAATGATGTTGAACTCAAAGGAACAGCTAAATATAAAATTGAATCGAAATATCCATTAATGAATTTAACTGTTAATAAAACAGATATCGCTGATATTGGTAAATATCGTGTCGTTGTTACCAATGTCGAACAAACAATTGAAAATCAAGCTGATCTCTTAGTACAAACAAAACCGAAATTAGAAGGTAAACCACAAGATGCACAACCAATTATCGAAGAAACAGCAAGAATACAATGTAAATTCTCTGGTTCACAACCATTAACTGTAACTTGGCTAAAGAATGGTGAACCATTATCGTTACCAAATGATAATATTGAAGTTATTAGTGAAGCTGATACAGGTGTTCAAGCACTCGTTTTTAAATGTGTTTATATTGAAGATAAAGCAAATTATACAGTTCAAGTTGCAAACATGGTTGGACAAGCTGAAGGCAAAATGAATTTAACACCTAAAGGTTTGTTTCGAAAAAATAAATCGAATTACCTAAAATATTAATCAAGTATACTGAGTATAGAAAATTGAAAATAAGAAACTATGCCAAGTAGTTATTTTCATCTAGAAAAAAATGAAAATCGCGTCAAGACTTAATTTGAGTTTGAATTTAGAGCATTTTAATATCAAACTGATTTTAATTTTCATTACATTTTCAAAATAACCTGTTGATATTTTTACATATACTCATCTACATCTTCAAGATTCGTCTATTTTCTGATGATTAATTTCTATATTAGTTCGTGTATTATTGAAAATATTTTGTTTTTTGTTCGTTTTCTAGAAATTAAACCAACCATAGTCACTGATCTTGAAGGAAAAACTGTTGAGAAAGGTGCACTATGTGAATTGTCAATCGTTGCTGAAGGTAAACCTCTACCACAATGTAAATGGGCATTTAACAATCAAGATTTGACATTAATTCCTGGTGAAATCGAATCAGTAGTTGACGAAAATGATAAACGGATATATTACTTACGAATTCCTTCGACTCAACCAAAACATATCGGTGAATATTCATGTACTCTATCGAATGGTGGCGGAAGTGTTAAATCGAAAAAAGTGAAAGTATCATGTGAAAAATCTCCACAATTTGCTTCTGAATTTGGTAAACCCGTACAAACTATACAAGGTGAAGATGCAAGAATTGAATGTTCAATCGATGCTTATCCATTGCCCAACTTCACTTGGTAAATAAAACACAAAAACTAGAATTCATTTTTCTATTCGTGTTTTTATTTAGGAGTCGAGGATCTGATGAAAATAGTCTATCGGATAAAGATGCTAATTATTCTATAGCTTTTGATACTGATCAAAATGCATCAGTATTATTAATAAAACAAGTTAAAAAATCTGAACATGAAGATGAATATGTATGTCATGCAACGAATGAATTTGGTACAGCTAATATGCGCACAAAATTAATTGTCCTTATTCGACCTTACTTTATTGAGCCATTGAAAGATACTCAATGTCATGAATTTACAGAACAATATGCTATTGAATATCAAGTTGATGCTTATCCTGAGCCAACAATAGAATGGACAAGAAATGATGAAATCATTTTACCAACATCGAATGAATTCCGTATTGAAAAGAATCGTTTAGTTATATTAGAAACAAAATTAGAACATACAGGAAAATATGGTGTTAAACTAACAAATGAGGTTGGTGAAGTTGAATCGTCTATGCAATTAACAGTCAATGAAAGACCTATTGAAATAGGTAAACATCTTGTTGATACAATCGGTGTAGAAAAGGGCCTTATTACACTTGAGTGTGTATTTACAAAACCGATTGAAGGTGTTAAATGGTTTAAAAATGGTGCAGAATTACCAGATGATGCGCGTTTTGTTCGTAAAGGTGAGCCAAATCAACGTTACTTTCAATTAGAAGTCAATACATTAACACTTGATGATACTGGAGAATTCTCTTGTATTTACAATGATGGAATAAATTCAAAAGCAACATTAACAGTTAATGAATTACCAATTGATTTTGAACAACCATTATCGAATCAATCATTAACGGAATATGATACATTAACACTTGAGTGTACTGTTACAAAACCGGATAAACAAGTTAAATGGTATTTTGATAGCCAAGAATTAAAACCTGATGATCGATGTCGATTTGAAAATGAAGGAAAAGTTCATCGATTAATTATCAATAATGTGTCACCAAATGATGAAGGAAACTATGATGTTATTACAGAAAGTGATAGAAAGAGTTCAGCATTTGTTGGCGTTAAAGGTAAACTTAACAAATAATATTCTTATGATATAGGAATCTTTCAGTTCATTTTTCTTATTTCTATCGGCTATTTTTTCGAAAAATTTCTAAAAGTATAACCCCGTCAGTTCATCTAGTAACATGAAATTATAATTCGAAAGCATTCAAGTATCTAAGGTGATGTATTGTAACAGAAACTCGAATTCTAAACGAATCCCCAGTGAAACTATTTCAAGGTTACCAAGAAAAACAATTATGTATACCAGTTGGATTTGGGATTTGTTCTTAATAATTTTCCCTCAGTTAGAAGAAGTTATATTTTCAGATTCTGTTTGAAACGGTCAAAGGTTCCACCACTATAGGAAACTGAAAAGTGACATTACTAATCATCTAGATCAGCATATCATCTGGTTATTTTTCAGAATACTCGTTAGTTTGAATTTTCCAATGCAATATTTTTTCATTATTTAGAAATTCCTGTTGTATTCGTTCGTCCATTAACTGATATTGATGTTCAAGAACGCTCATCCGAAATAGTTCTTGAATGTGAATTAAACAAATGTGTTCATGTCGAATGGTATCGTTTTGCAACACAATTAACATCAACTACCGATGATCAACGTATATTTATTGAACAAAATGATTTAGTATATCGATTAATAATAAAAAATATTCAAATGGATGATCAAGGAACATATACATGCCTTTATCCATCACAACGTGTTGATTCAACATGTAAAGTACATGTTAATGAATTGCCATTAGCTTTTGTACAAGGCTTAAATGAAGAATATATCGTAACTGAAAATGATGATTTAATATTAAGCGTTGAATTAAATAAAATGACTCCATTGAAATGTGAATGGCTTAAAGATGGTCTTCCAATTGAAAATAATGAACATGCTAAAATGACTGTTCAAGGTGAAAGATATCAAATAAAATTACTTGATGTTAAAGTTGATGATCAAGCAAAATATACTTTCCGCATCAATGAAGTTAATCTTGAAGGAAATACAAATGTTAAAATAAATGAAATACCTATTTACTTTACACGTCCATTAAAAGATACATCCTCGATTGTAGAAAAAACAACTGACTATCGTTTTGATTGTGAAATTAATAAAGAAAACAAGATTGCACAATGGTTTAAAGACGATGAACAACAAGCATTAACATCAAATGATGAAGTTCTAGTACAATCTCAAGGACGTATACATTCTTTAATATTTAATACAATTAAATTAACGCATGCAGGCAAATACACATGTCAATTTACAGAAGATATCAAATCTATTGGTGTACTTCAAGTTGACGGTAATAGAACAAAAATAATTCTCTATAATATATTTTCATTTAAAATTGATTTCATTGTTAATAGAGGCTGCGACTGACTTTGATATTGCTTTACAAAATGTTACACTTAATGAAGATGAACCACTTATATTAGAATGTATTCTTACAAAAGATCGACCTGACGATCAAGTCAATTGGTTATTCAATGGCGAACCTTTGTTGATCGATCAAGAACGTGTTAAAACAACAAAAGTTGGTCCGATTGTTAAGTTAACTATAGATGAATGTCAATTGAGTGATGAAGGGCGTTATCAAGCAGAAATTAATAATAAAACAAGCAAAGCCTTGGTCACTGTTAAAGGTAAAAACATACAAAAAGAAAAACTTTAAACTCTTTTGAATCGTAAGATGTGTAAAAACAAGATTTTCATGAAATGAAAATCAATCAAGCAGATATTTCAAAATAGAAATTCCAAGTTTTTGGAATTTACATTCCTCGTAAAGCTATCGAAAACATTTTATGCTATTGAAGAATGTTCTATTCTACGATACGAATGTAAAACTATAAATTATTTCAAGTATAACTCTCTAGAAAATTCTAAAAATTCAGAATTATGCATTAAATGACTGGATTTCGACTTACAAGTTCTTGTTACTGTGAAAAAATTGCAAAGTTTTCAGCTAACATTATAAAACATGAAAATAATGTTTCTGAAGGAAAATCGAAGTTTGAACTTTGAGACTGAAACGAACACAAGAGAGGGAGCGAGTTAATGATCAATAAACGAATCATTTGAATTTTATTTATTCTAGAGAAAAAGATTCAATTTACTAGCCCACTCAAAGATGTTGAATTCGATGAATGGTCTAAATGTATTCTTGAATGTGAAGTCAACAAACGTAATGCTGAATGTCACTGGTATAAGGATATAATGGAAATTCGTCCAAATGATCATTATCAATTTGAAGTTGATAATAAAACACAACGTTTAATTATCAATCGTCTCGAATTGGATGATGCATCTAGTTACAGTTGTGTTTTTCGACAAGAGAAAACATCAGGAAAATTAACTGTTAAAGAATTAGCTTATGAATTCGTTCGTCCATTAGAAGAAACTAGAACATTTGTGGAAAAACAAGAATTAGTACTCGAATGTGAAACAAATAAACCATTGAGAGATAATTTAGCCATATGGACACGTGACGGACAAGTTCTAACACATAATCCAATGGATGGTATACTTATTAAAACAACTGATAAAGTTCATGTGTTAACGATTTATGAAACGAAAATGAAAGATCACGGAAAATATTCGTGTACAATAAAAGAAGCCAGTACAACATGTCAAGTTGTTATGAACGGTAACGTTAATTTGAATTTTCTTTTGTTCTTGTAAATTGTCAATATTTGAATTTTCAGAAGCGCCAGTTGAATTTATTCGTCCACTTGAAAACTTAACAGTTACAGAAGGTCAACCACTACGATTAAGCTGTACGTTGAGTAAAGACAATTGCCAAGTTACATGGGTAAAAGATGATGAAGAAATTAAAATAAACGAAGAAGAAGAAAGTCGATATGTTATCACAAATGATGCACGAGCTTATCGATTAGAGATGAAAGAATCTAAAATGACTGACGCTGGAACGTATACTATTAAAGTTGAAGATAAAGAACTATCATGTCAAGTTGTTATTACTGGTAAATAGATTACTGATTTTTGTTTTCATTTATTTATTTTTCTTGTTCAATTTTTTATTTAACAGAGGCTCCAATCGAAATCATTATTCCATTAAGTGATAAAACGTGTATGGAAGCTACAGCTGAATTTTCAGAATTTTATGTTGAATTAAATAAACCAAAAGTTAATCTTATTTGGAAATGTGACGATGAACCAATTGATTTCACTAATCCAAAATATTCTACACGTAATGAACAAACGAAATATACATTAGTTATTCGTGATATTGAATTATCCGATGAAAAAGCTTATTCATGTCAAGTTAGCAGTGGTGCATCAGCACGTGTTAAATCTTCAGCGCATTTAACTGTTGACGAATTGCAACCTGAATTCGTTTTAACAACAACAATATTACAAGATCGTGAATGTTTTGAAGATGAAACTGTCGAGTTTGAATGTGAATTAAATAAATCGAAATGGAAAAAGACTGGTCAAACAATTATGTGTAAATGGTTTCGTAATGTTGATCGAGAAATACGAACAACAGCTAAATATTCAATGGAACGTTCAGGACCAATACAAAAGTTAATTATTCATAATGCACAATTTGAAGATGAAGCAGAATATCGTTGTGTTATTATGGATAATTTTGTCAGTGCTAAACTTACTGTCAATGGTACGTTCTACTGTTGTATATTTGGAATAGTAACGAATAGGAATGTCACTTAAATCAAAGAATTAATTGTAATAGAGTAGAGCTTAAATTGAACAGTTACTTAACTAGAAAGACAAAGTTGTAAAACAGTATTTTCAAATAGAGCTCAATTATTTGTTGTGCGATAGTAAAATTATTAGCAATTCTATCTATTCGGTTATGCTCGAATAAATTCCCACGAGTTCAAATTCGAAATTTTTCAATAATAGATCCCTTTTATTTTGCGGCTGCTAGTTAGAAATTTTAACTTTAAATATAGTTTGAATATCAAATAATATCAGAACGCTTGAATTTATTTTAAAATTAAAATGTCTCATCTAGGGTGCTTTTTTCTGAAAAACACTTTTTACTTATTATAATTAAAGATAATTCAATACTATACAAAAACAGCAGTTATCTATTCTCATGAATTATATCATTTGATGTTAAAGCGTGTAGAAAAAAAATTGAAATCTATCCAGTAGATAGGATTTCTAAAGTTGTAGGCAATGTTAATTTGATTATCATCTGTCGAGCATTGTATTTTTGTTTGAAACATATGAATAGTGTCTTAATTCAGAAATAAACATTAATTAAAAAAACGAACATCGTATTTCTTCAAAGTGACTCGTAGATTTACATTAGACAAATTCTTTTTGACAAAATTTTCTTTTGTAGAATTTGAATAAACAAAAATCGATTTTATTCTTATTTAGAAATTCCTGTAACATTCACTCAATTACTCGAAGATGTCAACATCATTGAACGAGAAACAGTTACATTTCAATGTGAAATATCTAAAACGAATTCAACACGTACGAGTGCAGAAATTCCAATACAATGGTATCGTGATGGCGTTAAAATAGTTGGTGGTGGTCGATTTGAAATATCGAAATCATCAGGCAATAAACGACAGACATTAAAAATAATCAATGCTAGTTTAACCGATTCGGGTGAATACGCTTGTACAGCTGATACCGATAAAATTCGCACAGGTGCCAATTTAACAGTTGGCGATCTTGAAGTTCAATTTCTTCAAACATTACAAGATCGTACTGTTCTCGAAGATCAAAATTTGGTGCTCGAATGTATTGTTAATCGTACCGATAAGCCGATCTCATGGTTTTTCAATGATCAAGAAATTCATCCAGGAACAAACTATGATATTAATCGTGAAAAGAATAAATTACGTTTAGTTGTTAAAAATGTAACAATGAACAATGAAGGACAGTATTCATGTCGTGTAGCTGACGTTAAAACGCAATGTCATGTTATTGTTGATGAAGACACGGTTCGTTTTATTGAACGTTTAACTGATGTCGGAGCTAAAGAAGGTGATTCGGTAACATTTCAATGTTCACCATCGAAACTTACATATGTTAAATCTAAACGCGATATTAATTTTAAATGGTTACATAATGGAAAAGCTATTGATGAAAATCAAGATAAAGATAAATATAAAACTGAATTTGATAAGACAAATAAAATATTAAAATTAACAGTGAATGATATACGTAATGAAGATATTGGCATAATAACATGTCAAGCAGATGAAGTAACAACAATCGGTAAAGTGGTTGTTGAAGAAGTGCCAATTAATTTTGTTCGTAAACCAGAAGATCAAATTCTAACTGAATTACCAAATATTTGTTTATTTGAATGTGAACTAAATCGACCAGGTGTACAAATCAAATGGTTGCATAATAAGAAACAATTAGATTTTCTTAAAGATAAAATTGAATTTCATAATACAGATACAATTTATCGTTTGAAAATATTAAATGTTGATGTTGATGATCAAGGCGAATATTTATGTGTTGCACGTGATAAGAAAGCACAAGCTTTTCTTAAATTACAAGTAGCACCGAAAATTCAATCATTTCAAACTAATGCAAAATTAATTAAACGTGGTCAACCATTAATCATTGATGTTGTATACCATGGTTGGCCAGAACCAACTATTGAATGGAATAAAACAAATACTACAATGAAGAATAAATTAATTAAAAATGGAAATAGACAAATGTCAATTGAAAGCACGTCACGAAGTGACTCAGGTTCATATGAAATAACACTTAAAAATGATTATGGACAAGATCAAAGAAGTGGTGCTATAGAAATTCTTGATAAGCCAAGTAAACCAAGAAATGTAGCCGTTAAATTATTGGATGTTGGCGAATGTGAACTAACGTGGGAAGAACCAGAAGATGATGGTGGTTCACCACTAACTGGCTATTGTATTGAAAAATGCGAAGAACGACGAGCTGCATCATGGGATGAAGTTTGCATAATGAGTGTTGAAGAAAGAACGGCACTTGTTAATAGATTACTTGAGGGAGCTAAATATCGCTTCCGTGCTAGTGCAGAAAATAAATATGGCCGATCAGATCCATGTGAAACAACTGAACCATTACTTATTAAAAATCCATTTGGTAAGATATTCTTTTATAGAAAGAAATTAAATTCTTTGTTTTGCTTTTCAATTCATGAATTATAAACGAATAAGATAACTAAAAGTGTAAGCCAATGAGTTTAAAAAGTCGGAGTGATTCTCATTTTTCTTTTATATTTGAAGAGCATTGCTCTACGATGACTATGACTAGAGAAAACAAATTTGAGCACCTATGTTTATGGCAGTATCGGCTGTAAATTTTATAAACTATCAGCCGCTCATCCAACTGACTAATACTTCTGACGACAATTCATATCGTTAAATGACGGTCCGTTGTTTTTGGATTACTACAACATATGAGTATAATGATAATTGATTGTGTCTCTCTCAAATGCAGCTTTTTCATGACATTGAATATTGAGATATATTTACCAAAACAAAAAAAATCTTACTAACATCATCTAGTGTTTAAAATTGTCGATATTCTATTAGAATAATTTTAGATTTATCGATTGTATTCATTGAAAATATGTCTTTCTTGTTGAATTCTCCGTGTCGATTAAAAAGTAAATTGTAATATCTAAAATTTAGATCCTCCATCGGCACCGGATGCTCCACTTATTGATGAAATCTTTGCAACAACATGTCGTATTCAATGGACACCACCATCTAGTGACGGTGGAACACCATTAACAGGCTATTATGTTGAACGTCATTTACAAGGAGCCACACGTTGGACAAAAGTATCAAAACAAATAACTCCACCAGATACAACTGAAATAAAAGCTGAAGAACTTATGGAAGGAAGTGAATATGAATTTCGAATAGTTGCTTGTAATAAAGCGGGTCAATCAGAGCCAAGTGCTCCATCAAGAACTATCGTAGCAAAAAATCCATTTGGTATGTTCGAAGAAATTTTCAAAACAGAAAAAGAAAACGAAACATTATTGTTTAGATAAACCAGGACCACCTTCTGGATTAACTATTGATGCAGTCGGTAATGAATGGATTGAATTAAGTTGGCAACCACCTATTAAAGATGGTGGTTCACCAATAACCGGTTATGTCGTTGAACGACGAACCACTTCAAATTATAAATGGCATGTAAGTTAAATCAACTTAATTTTTCTTTTCTTTTTGATGATCTCATCGTTTTTTTTTCTATTCTCATAAGGCTCCAACTGATCCAATAGAAGGTACAACGACAAAACTACATTCATTACACACTGGACATAAATATGAATTTCGTGTTCGAGCTCAGAATGCAGGTGGTGTTGGCGAACCATCAAGTCCAACAAAAGAAACTGAAATAAAAGAACCAATCATTGGTGAAAAACCAAGATTTATTCAAGAACTTGAACCGGTCACAGTCGTCAGTGGACGACCTGTGACATTAACTGCTCGTGTTAAAGGTGATCCAACACCTGAATTCAAATGGTAAGTGAAAAAAAATGAAACACCCGAACCGTGTAAATAATATTGTAATCTTAGGTTGAAAAATGATAATCGAGTTGTACAAGATGATCACTTAAAATTGGATATTACTGGTGATACAGTTAAATTAGTAATCACTGAAGCTGTACCGTCCGATGCGGGTTCATATGAATTGATAGCTGAAAATGCTCTTGGTTCAATTGATTGTGCAGCGAAATTAATCGTTCAATGTATGCGAAATATTCTTCTATTGAAAAGAAAAGAAAGATGATCATTATGTTTTTATTTTTATTTTAGCACCACCAACTATTGTTAGTTCAACTCCATCACCAATCAATGTTCCAGTTGGTCAAGTTTTATATATTTCATGTGAAGTCAGTGGTTATCCTCGACCAGAAATGACCTGGGAACCAGCAAATGATCGTTTCCGTACTGAACAATCTGATACATTCGTTACTTTATCAATATCAAAAGTTCGTGTCAATGAAGGAGGAACCTATAAATTAGTATTAAAAAATGCAGCTGGTTCAGCTGAAGCATCATTTGATGTTCGTATTCAAAATGTTCCTCAACCCGTAAGAAATCTTACAATTGATAAAATTCAAGCCGAATCAGTTCATATCAAATGGACAGCACCATTGGATGATGGTGGTTTACCAATAAATTCATATTTTGTTGAATATCGTGATATGCGTCGTTCACAATATGTTCGATCGGAACGTCTTTCAGGTGAAACATTTGATTATCAACTTACTCGTTTAACAAAAGGATCCAAATATACAGTAAGAGTATTAGCAGAAAATAAACTAGGTCAATCAGAACCAACAGAAATTATTGAACCATTTATTGCTAAAAATCCATTTGATGTACCAAGTGCACCACGTGAACTTAAAGTTACTGGTGTAACAAGATCATCTTGTCAATTACAATGGTTACCACCAAATAATGATGGCGGAGCAGCAATTCAAGGCTATATTATTGAAAGACAAACAGAAACACGTTGGATTCGAGCTGTACCAACATTAGTAGAAGGAACAACTATACAATTAGTTGACTTAATTGAAGGTTTGTTAATATAGAAAACAAAATTCTATCATTAGATTTCATATTCTTCTTGCAGGATCTATTTACGATTTTCGAGTAGCAGCTGTAAATGAAGAAGGTCAAGGTGCATACAGTCGTCCAAGTGAATCTGTTACTATTAAAGATCCATACGATGTTCCAACACAGCCGGGACCTATTGACATCAATGAACTAACGGATACATCATGTGTACTTGCATGGAAACCACCCATTCGTGATAATGGTAGTCCAGTTATTGAATATATAATTGAACAACGTTTTAAATCTGATCCATCATTTATACGTTTGGAAACTGAAGCACCTGTTACTGAATGTTTTCATAAATTGGAAAACTTAGTTACCAATGGTGAATATGAATTTCGTGTTGCTGCACGTAATAAAGCTGGTTTAAGTGCCTATTCACAAACAGATCGAAATATTCTTATTCGAGCACCTCGCCAAGGTGTTGCACCACAAATCGAAAAACTAATTAGTCAAACACTAAATGGAGGTACTCAAGGTCGTCTTGAAGCAACAGTTACCGGCTCACCTGAACCAGAAATAATTTGGTATAGAGGTGGCCGAAAATTACCTTTACAAACCGGACGATATACTTCATCACTTGCACAAAGTCTTCTTGTTCTTTACATAAAAGATGTTCAAGAAAATGATGCTGGACAATATACATTGGAAGTTCAAAATGAATTTGGTAGCGATAGTAAACAAATTCAAGTCAACGTTTTAGCAACACCTAAAATTGAATTCGATGCTAAATATCGTAAACAAATTGTTGTTGATGTTAATTCGTCTGTACGTATTCCATTTGCATTTTCTGGTTCACCGAAACCTGAATTGACATTGAGTCGTTCTGATGAATCGAAAGAAAATCACGCAACACTTGATCTATTCGAAAATAGTGGCACACTTCTTTTACGGCAAGTAACACGTCCAGATACTGGCGTATACCGTTTACAAGCAACAAATGAATGTGGTACAGTCACGGCACGTATTGATATTCTTGTCCAAACAGTTCCATCACCACCAGGTGGACCATTACAAGTAACAGCAAGCGGCAAAGATTATGTTAGTCTTGCTTGGCATACTTGTGAAGATGATGGCGGCAGTGAATTATCAGCATTTATCATTGAAAAACGTGAAGAAAATAAAGCAATTTGGACAAAGGTTGTACAAGTTCGTCCAACGAATACCACATATACATGTACTGGTCTACTTGACAAAACAAATTACTTCTTTAGAATATTAGCTGAAAATGAAATGGGCATTGGTGAACCATTAGAATTAGAACATGTTATTATGGCTAAATTACCATATGAACTTCCTGGTTCACCCGTAGGTCCTGTCAAAATTGATTCAATTATTCAAACAGGCTGTACATTATCATGGTCACCAGCAACAGATGATGGCGGTGCAAAAATTACAGGCTATGTTATTGAAGGGAAAGATGTTAATCGACAAGCATGGATACCATTGGAAAATGTACCGGCTAGTGAAACTACAGTTGATGTAAGACAATTAAAAGAAGATGCAACATATACTTTTCGTATTATGTCGAAAAATATTGTTGGTCTCTCGCAACCACTTGATAGTGAATCTGTAACATTAAAACGGCCAAATACAGTACCACATGCTCCTGTACCATTTTTTGTTAGTGACGTTGATATTGATAGTTGTATATTAGAATGGGAAATACCGAAATTTAGTGGTGGTGAAAATATACAACTGAAAAATTTCATTATTGAACAACGTATTGGCGATAAAGAATCTACGCCATGGAAAGTTGTTGCTGAACCTGATGCATTTTTAACAAGTACTAGAATTGGACATTTGGTCGAAGAAAAAGAATACTATTTCCGTATTAAAGCAGTGAATGAAATAGGACAATCAAAACCAACTGAATTAACAAGACCAGTTATTCCACGCCAAAAGAGCAGTATGTTTTGTAATTTTTTTTAAAGATGTCACGTTTATTTTTCTAAGTAGAATAGAGGGAGTTCATTTTAATTCGAAATTTCTTTTGTAATCGAGATTAAAAATGATTCAATACTCTTTTTCTCCTTTAATTCAACGAAAACATACATTGGTGTCTTTTCTCGTAAATCGTTAGGGATGGAAAAAATCGATGTCGCATGATATCGGCAACAAGCATATATTCATTCTAAAAAACAAATTAATGATATCAGAAAGAAAATTTTCTCCTCGATGTATTTGTTGATAAATATTGATGATAATTTTATTTTCTAGTTGCTCCATCAGCACCTATCGGACCTATAAGTACACTAATGGTAACACGAGATTCAATTACTATTAGTTGGGGACCGTGTAAAGATGATGGTGGAAGTGAACTTATCGGTTATGTTATTGAAAAACGTGATGCTTCAAGAAATACTTGGCAACGTATTGGATATAATGATCCCAGTACATTTACTTATACAACAACTGGACTTATTGAAGATGCTGCATATCATTTTCGTGTATATGCCGAAAACTCCGTTGGAATGTCATCACCATTGGTAACAGTTGATCCTATTGTTGCTAAGAGTCCATATACACGTCCAGATAAACCAGAAGGACCATTGATAACGAAGATTGTTTCAGCGAGTTCAATTGACTGTACATGGCAACCACCATTAAGTGATGGCGGTACAACATTAACAGGCTATCTTATTCAAAGACGTGATATAACAAGACCAATCTGGGTTAAAGTAAATAATTCAAAAAATTAATTTGCTTTTTTTTGTTGTACTAATTTGTTTTTAAATATAGGCTGGACATGTCAATGGTGATATCTGTCGATTTACCATAAAAGATTTACCCGATGAAGGCTCATATTTAATACAAATATTTTCTGAAAATTCTGAAGGTCAATCACTAGAACCGTTAGCAATAGAACAGCCGGTTAAATTAATGCGTAAAGTTGATGTACCTGAACCACCAGCTAAACTTGATGTTATAGCTAAAACAGATTCATCAATAACATTACAATGGGAAATGCCACGTAGTGATGGTGGTAGTCCATTGACAGAATACTTATTAGAAATGCGTGATAAGAAAGGTAAAAATAGTGAATGGACACAAGTACAAATTTTGCCAACGATAACAACAAGTTTCCGTGTGACGAAATTGAATGAAGATGTCTATTATAATTTCCGTATTAAAGCAGCCAATACTATAGGATACAGTGAACCGAAAACACTTGAAAAGGCAGTTAAGCCAGACAAACAAAGTGGTACGTCAGTTAACTTGCTTGACATAGAACATTGATTTGTTTTGCAAATTATACATAAATTAAAATAATTTATTTTTCTTTCTATAGAACCACCATCTATGCCTGATAAACCATTGGAAATAACAAATATCGATTCAACATCAATAGCTTTATCATGGAAACCATCATCATCGAGTGGTTCAGGTGATTTATTATCTTATATTATCGAGCGTCGTGATGTTTTGAAAGCTAATTGGACCGCAGTTAAAAAAGTTTCATCAAATCAATACAATCTTCTCATATCAGAATTAACTGAAGGTTCAAGCTATTATTTCCGTGTTTGTGCTGTAAATGAAGATGATCTTCAAAGTGAATGGCTTGAATTAGATGGGCCTGCTTTATGTCGCAATCCATATGATGTTCCATCACCACCAAAAAATCTTGTTGTTAAAGATATCATTGGGCAAACAGTGACAATACAATGGGACGCACCAGAAAATGATGGTGGTAAACCCATACGTGGCTATAATATTGAACGACGTGATGTACAAAGAGCAACATGGCTGAAAGAAGGACGTTGTAAAACAACAACATTTGAAATTGAAAGTTTACCATTGGGTGGGCAACATTTAATACGTGTAACAGCTGAAAATGAAGAAGGTCTTTCAGCACCATGTGAAATTGATAGAGCTGTACAAATCGATGCTAAAGATAGTAAGATAGATCGAATTTAGTTTTCAAGTTTTTTCCTAACATATGAACAACTATATTTCTAGTTTCAATACCGAAACCGCGTGACGTTGAAATCGGAAAAGTGAAAGGACAATCATTGACGTTAACATGGCTACCAGCTACAGGATCATTACAAGATAAAACTGATACTATATCAAGTTATGTAATTGAAGTCTGGGATTCCGAAGAACATGCATGGCGTGAATTAGAAAGAGTTGATGCATCAGAAACATCATATACACGCACAGATTTAAAAACAGAGTTATCTTACCAATTTCGTCTACGTACATTAACACGTAATGGTCGACGCTCATCACCAACACGTGAAACACAAGTTTTATCACTTAAGCGTACTATTGACGCCCCAGATACACCAGAAGCATTGACAATAACAGACATAACAGATGATTCTTTCATACTTAAATGGCGTGAAGGTTCATTAAAAACTAAACGTTATATTGTTGAGAAACGTGAAGCATCAAAAAAAGTTTGGGTAACAGCTGGTGAAACAACAGAAACAAGTATTTGTGTTGAACATCTTATGCGTAATGTTCAATATGAATTACGTGTCTTTGCTCAAAATGCTTCGGGCGATCGTTCAAAAGAAGCAGCAGTATTATTAATTCAATTTAAAGGACGACAAGTACCTCCTGGTTTATGTGAAGAATTGAAAGTTAAAGAACATAGTCCAACTGCATGTTTAGTTACATGGTTGCCACCTAGTGATACAAGTAATGCATCCATTCGAAATTATATCGTGGAAAAACAACAAGTTGGTCGTTTAACATGGCAAACTGTTAGTGATTCATCACAAACGTGTACATGTCTTGTAAATGAATTAACACCAAATGTACAATATAAAGTCCGAGTAGCTGCAATCAATGAATTTGGTCAAGGAGAATTTGTTGAAACAGAACCCATACAAATTAAAGAACAGAATAGTAAGTTAATGGAAAATAATTGAATACATTTGTTTGTTTCTTATTTATTTACTTTATTTTCTCTCTCTCTCTCTCTCTCTCTCTAGTTCCACCATCAAAACCTGTTAATCTAACTGTGACGGATATGACTTACTCATCTATTGATGTAAGTTGGTTATGTCCACGTGAATTTGGTTCTAAACCAATAAAACATTATGTATTATATCGACGTTCAACAAAAGCCGGTTCTGAATGGAAATTAATTCATCGTGTAAATCGAACACAATTATCATATACATTTGATAATCTTGATTCGTCATTAGCGTATTCTTTACGTGTTACAGCTGAATCTGATGCTGGTGAATCTGAATCATGTGAATTACCAACACCTGTATCTCCTAAGAAGAAAGCGAAACCGCCCGCAATACCAGATCATGTTTTTGTTCGTACAATCGATGATGGTATTATTAGTATACAATGGAGTGGCTTAGATACAGATAATGATAATCAATCTGAACAAAATTCAAATTTACTTGGTTATATTGTTGAAATGAATGATGGTAGAGATTGGGTTGAAGTTGAACGCACAGACAGTTTTACACGTACATGTACAACAACACATTTGAGACAAGATACTGATTATAGTTTTCGTGTATCGGCATATAATCGTATTGGACAAGGTCGTTCGAAAGAAATCGATACACCTGTTAAAGCTAAATCACCATTTTCTAAACCAGGTCAACCATCCGGTCCATTAAATGTATCAAATTTAACACGATCAACTGTTGATCTAAACTGGTCACCATCACCAACTGTAAATGATATACCGATAACAAATTATTTTGTTGAAAAATTTCGTGATGGTATTTGGATAAAAGTTGCACGTTTACCACCAACATCAACATCATTAAAAGTATTTAATTTAATTGAAAATAAAGACGTATTATTTCGTGTATCAGCTGAGAATCGTTTTGGTATAAGTGAACCATTACAATCAATGCAAGTCAAACCAAATCGATCATTTGAAACCAAGCCGCCTACTGATCTTGATTCAACAGCAGCTAGCTATTTTGAAAAGAATTTAAATCATAATGATTTTAATTTTCTTTTATATCACGATAGTCCACCATCGACAACATTTGATACATTGAAATTTGGTGATGATATTGAAGAATATATTAAAAGTGTTTGGTAGAAAAACATAAAAGAATTCAACCGATTATGATTATTGGCTTTTTTTAACCTATAAACAAGAAGATGAACAAAATAATTTCTTCTTTTTTTCTTTTATTAAGTGTGGCTCGCTCGATTAGGACGCAGAAAAAAAGAGCAATTCCACATAATCGGTCTGATGTTTAATAGGCATAAATATGTGTGCGTTTGAGTGTTTGAACCCGTTTTGTCTGTTTTTTTTCTCACCTGACATTTTCCCAGATGGAAATTATGAAATGAAATATGGTAAAAGAATAATCATACGATTTGAATTGCTCCTCCGATTGTTATGATTATTTTTTTTTATTTGTATCGTTCGAATGTGGCGGTGAAAGTGTTTGTTTTTCTTTTTCTTATTTATCAATAAATAAATGCATAATTATAATGACAAACAAAATACAAAGTCTTATTGAATTCATGGATTCGATTGAATATACTTTTTTTCCACGAAAATATTGTATAGCTCATTATCAATGAAGATGAACATCTTCTCCCTTAAATTAATTTTAATTATCTGATCACTATAAATGAGTTGGTTTCATAACCGCATGTTTTGAAAAAATAATTAGGAACATACAGGAAATCTAAGTCATTATTATTATAAGATTTTTAGTATATACGAAAATATATAATTGAAATCTCGATTAAAAGGTACGGATGAACATGAATATGGTTGTTTCTTCTATTTGACTTGTGACTGTTTGGTTCTGAATCTGAATGTATATTAAAGCGAGGTTCCTACTGTACATGCACTCCTCCTATTTTAAAATTCCATGGTAAAAATTTTGAAAGAAAGAGAATTTTGTTGTGTTTCTTTTTGTTTTTCATAAACTTCTCTTGTTCAGCATAAAACATTTTAATAAAGTCCAGAAAAAATGGAAATTTTAATTTTGACTAAAATTATATTGAACATGCTCAATCTCTTATTGTGACTGGAAAGTGGTAAAGATGAGCCAATTCCGGTTTCAATGATAGTACATATGTGTATTTTCGTTCACATTGGTGCTGTTTTATTGAGATTAGTGATCGAAGTGGGAACGTATTCCGAATCCGATAATGATAGTATGTACCCTACAAGCAGAACAATTTTCAAAAGAATCGTTAGTTTTTCACAAAATATAGGAAGCATAGCCATACTAGAATGTCAGATGATAGAAGCATGCAAAGAACAGATGATCTCTTAATACAAAGCGAGTTTATTCAGTAGATCAAAAAATAAAAACAAGTTTACATATTCTTTCGAATTCTGTCTGATGCTTCTCTATATTTGAATAGATGACGATGGTTCGTTGGTGACCTGTTTTTAAGTCTTTTTAATACATTTTGAAAATGTATTACTGTTTTCGGATGATGCTCCATTTCATAGTTAGTTTCGCCTAAATTCATATATGCCGCTACACGATCCACAGGGTTACATTGGACATTCTCTTAAATATTTAATGCTTTTCGATTAAATGAAACTGCTATTTCATAATTTCCGATTAATCTATGAACGTCACCCAAGTTAGTGTATACAATAGCCCAACTCGGATGTTTGTGCGGTAATGTTTGTTGGAGTATTGCCAGGCACTTTTCAAAATATTTAAGTGCTCGCGAGTAGTCGTTCATACTTCGATGCACTCTTCCTAGTAAGCTGTACGTGGAAACGAAAGCAAGGTTATCTTCTTGAAATGTTTTTCGTTGAATATGAAAAGCATTTTGACAAAGTTTAAGAGCTGTTGTATAATCGCCCATCTCATGATATATTGAACCGATATTATTGTAGGAAGTAGCCAAGTATGGATGATTTGAAGGCAAAACAATTTTGAATATTTCATTTGACTTTTTATAGAATTCAAGTGCTTTTGGATAGTCATCCAAGTCTTCATATACTGAACCAATGTTGTTGTAGGAAGTAGCTAGATCAGGATGATTTACAGGCAAAGCATTTTCTTTTATTTGATGTGCTTGCTTATAGAACTCGAGTGCTTTTGTACAGTCCCCCATGTTGTAGTACACAGATCCAATGTTGTTGTATGAAATAGCCAAGTCAATATGGTTCGTAGGTAGACCATTTTTCATTCCTTCCAAAGACTTTTTATAGAATACAAGTGCCTTTAAATAGTCACCTAGGCCATCATATACTGAACCAATATTATTGTAGGAAACTGCCAAATCTGGATGGTTTAATGGTAGAGTTTCTTCTTTGATTTCTTTAGATTTTTCGTAGAATTCAAGTGCTTTCATGTAATCGCCCATATTGTAATATACGGAACCAATGTTGTTATAGGATGTAGCCAAATCGACATCATTCGAAAGGGAAATCTTTTTCGTAATTTCTACACATTTTCCATGAAACTGAAGTGCTTTTGAGTAGTCACCCATGTCATTATACAACATACCCAATTCATTGTACGAAGACACGAATGTTATATGATCTTCTGACAGAGGTTTTTGCTGGATTTTCAAAGAATTATTGAAGAATAAAGATGCTTCTTTATATTGTCCTTGGTGCTTTCTAACCGAACCAATTTGATGATAAATATGTGCTCTATCACTATCATTGGACGCTTTTTCAAGTAATTCATTATAGAATTGTCCAGCTTGATTGAAATCACCAACTTTTATCATTAAATGGCCCAATCGTTGCAACGGCGTGGATCCACAAAGTTCTTCTCGTATGCGACACGTAAGAGCGGCTAGTTCTGGATCATTGGTGTCAGTTAGAGTCAAGTGAACTTCCCAAATGCGACTGTTGCCAACTGTTTCTTTTATTTTATCTACACGAAAAACCGTATGCATCGAAAAGAGAATTTCTCTTTCTCGTGGAATCGAACTGTACTTTTCAATAAGAGCGAATGGAGTAGTCGCACCAGATACTTTACTTAGATTGATCGTTATAATAAAAAGAACGCCGATGCGTTGTTCATTTTTGTTAACAGCACGTTTAAGAAATTCTTCTGCTATTTTAGGTTCTCTACTTGTAGATAAGAAATTGTTGAACGAGAGAAGTCCACCTTTTGTATTGCATATATTTTCAAAGTTCTCTTTAGAAAATCCTTGGCCACGATACACTTGAAATGGTTTCAAATAGTCAGATGATTGTTCTTGATGTAATTGCTCTAATTGCCGATGAAGACTACGAATGAAGAAGCCTAACTTTGTCATAATCTCCATATCAAGTGAACCCAAAGCACGATTGAGCATACGATATAAAAAATTTTCACAAGTGTACCACCAGATTGGCGATCTACAGTGATAATCACATTCGAATTTGTTCAATTGATTTTCATCAATGTCTTTCTGTCGACAATAGACAACCAGATCTTTCATTGCTTGAATATCATCCTCTTCTATTTCCAATATGATTTCTTTAAATAGTACCGAATACATATAAGACGGCTCTAATCGATCTAGAGATTTATTATTCGTTGATGCTTCGATTACAATGTCCTTTGAAACGAAGCTTATCGGCATGGCATCATGTTCGCATTGTTCAGTGGCTATTTTTAATGACTCACATACAGATTCGATTGAAGTAAAAGAACCTTGAACTTTTGACCATTTATTTGCCAATTCTTTCTGTTGTGTTTCTTCTCTATGGAAGATAACGACGGTGTCGAGTTGAGACATATCGTGTATGAGAGGCATTATATCTTCAACAAATGTCCCACTAACAATCAAAAGGATCGTCTGATCACGGCTACTTTCCAAATAATCGACACATTGATCAACTTCAGTGAATTCGATTAATGGGCTCACAGTGCTTCGAACTTTTGTGAGTGAGGTTGTAAAATCTGTATTATTGTCATCGATATGAGCGTGCAGCCACACCAGAAGAAAATTTTGTAGCATTCCTATTTGTTCCGATGCAGTTAACGGTGCAGAAACTCCATTCGCGCCGGGAATAGCTTTCATAGTCATTTGATTTGATGTCTGTGATTCCATATTATCTTTGTCTCCGTCATCACTGATGATACTATCTCTGTGTCGTACGTCTTCGTCCATTTTGTATGTAGTTGTGGGGTTGGATTACTGTAAACATGAATAAATTAGTTGTACTTAGTAGTTGTAACTAATGTAACATACACTTCTTAGAGTATTAAGATTGAGCTACATAAAAGTTCTGGAAAAACCGATCGAATGACAAATTAACTGGTGTGAATCAAGGTGAGCTGTGATTTCTCCAGAATTTTCTGAATTAAAATCGTTTTAATCTTCCGTAATCTTGTCGGAGTAAATTCAAATGCTGATTTGTCTTTACTTTCTAGCTCTACACTTTTGTCTGACTGAAAATGAGTATCGGGGAAAGACGAACAAAAGCATTGAAGCTGTACTCGTAAAACTTTCGATTAGTGAACTTTTTTCAGTGAGAACTAAAACCATTATAGCACAGCAAAATTTTGTTTGTACAAGAAGTAGCAAAATAAAAAGACTACAAGCTAAAAGGGGTTTCGCGAAGGTAATCATTCACTAGTGTTTGCGAAAGAGGATTTCTCAAATAATATGAGACTTGCAAGCAATAATTCGCGCAAAACTATGGTTACTATAGGGACCACATGGGCATAGTATTATCAGAAAAAATTGAACTTGTGTCTATGATGTATATTTTGCTACCATGATCGCTTAATAATAACGCTACACCTGCTGAAAATACTCCGATCAATTTGATTTCATTTACCAGAATGCCTATTTGGTCAGATCTTTTACTGATACAAATTTTTAGGAACTCAGCTCTAGAAAATTAAACATGTCAATCAGTTGAATGAGTCAATACACTCTAAACAAAAAAGGTAATTTTACTGAACCCTCCAAAAAAGGTTTCGTACGTGTCAGAAAGCTTCCAAATGGGCTCGGTGACTTGAAAAAAACGATTGTTAAAATCTCCGAAACTTAAAAAGGATCTGATGGAGGGCACACAGTTCGAACCATCTGCTACGAAACCTTTTTTAAGTTCTGTATAGCGAAAAAAGGTCTGGTAAAAAAATACGAAGCTTCTATAGTTTCCCAGTGAACCTTTTGGTTTCGTATAAAACCATAGTGCGAAACTATAAAGGTTTCGTGGGAGATGGTTGGAACTGTGTGCCCTACATCAGATCCTTTTTAAGTTTCGGAGATTTTAACAATGGTTTTTTCAAGTCACCGAGCCCATTCGGAAGCTTTTTGACACCTACGAAACCTTTTTGGAGGGTTCGGTAAAATTACCTTTTTTGTTTAGAGTGTAGGTCGACAATAGGCCTACACTCATAATAGAGGCTGATTAGGATGTGCTTTTCCTTTGGGAAAGCATTGATTCTCGAGCGCATGTGAGTAGTCGTGAGGTTTGTCCAATTTCATGTCGAATCATATTTACCTTTGATACTCAAGTTTTAGATTTTAATCAAATTCCTACAAGTTTAAATCACTCTAAAATCGTTGGCTGCATCAGAAGTATTCTATGTGTAACCCGTTAATTTATTTCTAATGCTACATTTCATAGAGTGAAAACAATGCCCTCTGTTAGTAGTTCTGTTTAGTATAGTTTACTTGTGCAACTACTTTATCTATGGAAGTGACATCGACAAAAACTATCAATTCGTTATACTGAAGAGTTCTAATTCACACTTTCTCAAAATTCGTTTCTACTGATGTTTCAGCTCCATACGTTTGTCAATGTTTGATATTCATATCTTAATTATTCGAATTTGAAAATGCTTTCGCTTAGAATTTTGTATAATGCTATAAATAAAAAACACTTACATATTATGAGATATTTGGATGTAGGAGTTTTGAATTTCGTGTTGATATTTCTATTGTCTTTGTATTTGTCGTCGATGAAATTATGTGTGTTTTTGTGTCCAACTAGCGTAAGATTGTTTGAAATAATGAAGCATGGCTCTTTCATCGGATGAGCAATACTTTCAATGAGCATATATGTTCGTTAGATATATATGTTCGTTAGATATTTATGCGTTCTTTCGTTTTACTTTTGCCTCTCTTTCTTTCCGCTTCATTTTGCTCTGATTTGTATATACATACATGGGTGAGTCATACAAAAATCTTGAAATTTATTTCTCACAAATTAAGCGAAAGTATCATTTTTTGAACTCAAAATAAGAAATCTTTGGTGGTAGTTTGTTCCCTAGTGAATGTACTCACCCTAGAAAATGCCACAAGAACTCATCAGCAGTACACGTGCTAAGATCTGAGTAACTGAGTAGGAATATCGAGTACTCGCTCTGTAAGCTCAAACGTTTTTTAAGTACTCATCGTACATTTCCTGAGTATTCTGTGGAATTTTTGTAAAATACGCAGACATCTATATTTTGTTCTGCATCTTTCTACTGCGTACAATTTATTTTATTTAAAAACTGATGATAGAACAGTGACGTAACGTCACTGAAGCGCATGATAAGAATTTCAGAAATGAATTGTTTTGTAATATTAAAATGCTTTTTAATTGGGACAAAGAGATAAAACATTTATCAACAAAATGCAAGAAAAACTAACAATAAACCTGTTTGTACTGTCAAGCGAGATGGACAACTGGGTGGGGTGCAAATGATGACATTCACTGAGAAACTAACGTATTTAAAATATGACCTGCTGATGGCTTACCTGGATAGAGATATTGGGTTTTCCAGTGAATTTTTTTTGCAGGACCCACTTTCCCAACAAAATCATATTTTCGAGTTTGAATCTGAAACTTTGTAACATTGAAGGTTTCAATGAGACTAGCTTACAGGAAAAAATTCAGAAGTTTTGGATAAACTCTCTCCGAGACATAAATCCCTAAAAATATTGGCGATTTTCTATAGAAGTTGTATGTTTTGAGAGATTCATATCTCAGAGAGAGTTTATCCAAAACGTCAGAAAATGTTCCTGTAAGCTAGTCTCATTGAAACCTTCAATGTTACAAAGTTTCAGATCCAAACTCGAAAATATGATTTTGTTGGGAAAGTGGGTCCTGCAAAAAAAATTCACTGGAAAACCCAATATCTCTATCCAGGTAAGCCATCAGCAGGTCATATTTTAAATACGTTAGTTTCTCAGTGAATGTCATCATTTGCACCCCCCCCAGTTGTCCATCTCGCTTGACAGTACAAACAGGTTCATTGTAAATAAAAATCTCTATTGAGAACATTACAATATATGTAAACACAAGCATACGCACAAACACAAATGAGAAATAAATTATGGATCGAATTAAAATAAGCGATAACAATACACATTCACTTCATATCGTTACAAGACACACGAATATTTTTGAATCGAAAACTATTATCATTAAGTAACAAATAAAAAATGTATGAACTGTCTTCTGTATGATAGAGTATCTTGGGATATTGAATTTCATGTTTTTTCGAAATGTTTTCTCATTCGTCTTGTTTTTCATTGATTTTCAAAGAAACAAATTAAATTTTATCTAAAACGATATTTTCATCTTTGATTTAAGATATAAAATTTAGCAAATAATTTTGTATTTTCAAATAAATAGTTGGTGTTACTCGAGAAATCAATAGCTGAAATGAAATAAATTTGTTTTTTTTTATTCTTTAAATAACCAATTGACTACGGCACATGAGTGACTCATCACAATATATGAAGGATGAAATTGATAATTTGTTTAAAGAGTTTTTCCAAAATTTCGGTTCATTATACAGTTGTTATTAATTACGCAATATTATTTTATTTTCATGCATTCTAGTTCATAGATGTTTTGCTGAATGCGTTCGGAAAAACGATGATAGTACTATCTCGAGTACTCGCATTTTCGTGTACGAGTAATTCTTAGAGAGAAAACTCATTGGAGCACTCCTTCAAGTAATCTGAGTACTCATGATGCAAAGTCGTACTCACTGAACGAATACTTTCACTATGGTTAGATTTGAGATTTCTTCAGGATCACCAGATACTTGTACTGATTACACAAGAAAATTTTCGCAAAAAACCGAATAAATCAATCGAATTCTGTTTTTTAATATAACAACAAGTAATAGGTTTTGAAAACTATTTCTGGTAGTATGAGAACTACTAGAACACTCATTTTTCGATAATTCGATACCGTTATTAATAGTTAAACTGAAGTAAACCGAACACTTTATCGACATGAGTCATTTATTATTAAGATGAGTCAATCCTCATGAAAAATTTCCTCCATTAGTCATACATGCGTCATTTCTATACAGTATAACAATATGGCAGTCCTTGTTTATTGTTAACTTCTATGCATTTTCGTTGAGTTTTGTTTTCGTCTCACGGTATTTATTGCTCAATAGGGCATGTTGTACGAGTACAAAAATTATAACAAAATTTTAAATTTGATATATACTGATATCATACGAACCAATCGAAAACCGCCGATTAACCGGTTACATAATCGGTTATTGAGGACAAATCGACTACTTGTGCGGTTAACCGGTGGTTTTCGATTCTTTTTTACGATATGGGCACATTCTCATTTCTTTCGTATTATATGTCTGCTAGGACTGCACATACAAATAAAATATTGACCAATTCATTTTTTGATAAGGATTTCAAACTTGAACATACTTCTTCATTTTCTACCCGTTTGATTCAAGACTAACTTTACAACTTTTAAATAGCGCTATCGTAAAATGCCTGAAAATTTTAATTTATTCAAATCTATGAACTTCGAAATTCTTTGTGCTTTCTATATCAGATGAAATAGAAAGCTATTTTCAATGATCAAAATCATTCGTTTCCTATTATCAAAAATCGATTGAACCTGAATCATAAATGCAATTAACACTTAGGACTTGAATGTAGAAACGATACAGTATAATTTTTATACATGATTGAGGGTGCTACTTCTTCACTTTAGACATAGCAACTCACCCTCACCCTAGTGAAACATCTTGTAAGTAAGATCTTGAAATCTTGGGATTGGTAGGTAAGATCTTATCAAGATCTTTAAAAGATAATTCGCTTGTTCAGATCATGTCCTATCTGATAAATCTGTACCTAAGATCTTAGCAAGATCATGGCAACGATTTCTTTTACTATTATCTTCTCACAAGATCTTGAGTAAAACAGAAAGCGACATCATTAGTTTATTTAGATAGGCTATCTAGTCATTCACCGTTTTTTTATGCATAAAGAACAGAATATAAGCAACATGATTGAACATGCAAAAACATAACTTTACAAAATAAGTTTTTTTCTAAACTATTTCTCGACTATTGATTAATCGAGAGGATGCTGATCTCGATCGATGGCCGAGAGAGGACTACCCTAAATTGGTCTGGCGAATATCGGACCAACTTAAAGCCGGTCAGATCTCAACATCTGATTTGCTTGAGCTATTCGGGACAGGAATAGTTAATATTAAAATATATTGAAAAAATACCAAACATACTTCCAGAATGCATCATTCAAGATGTTATGAATTCTTACTTAAGATCTGTAATAAGATCTTGGGTACAAGATAATACAGTTATCTTGTATCTAAATTTTCAAGATCTGTTCACTTATCTGTACCCAAGATCTTGGCCAAGATCTTACTTACAAGATGTTTCACTAGGGCACGCATTACTATATGTACAAATTATATCTAATGTATTTCAAGTGAAGTACTGGTATGAAATTGTTTTCCTTATAGAAATACTTTATAGAAACAAATTCAATAAATCACATAGCATAACGCTAACTTTCGTATCGAAAAAATAAACCAGTATGACAGTTCGCTGTGAACCGCTCAATTCATGCCACCACCACAAAATATGATGAATAGTCCTAAACAACGATTCGAATAACAGTCTAAAAAAAGGTAAACGAATGACAAAATGAAAAAAAATAGTTGTTCATTCAATATTTTATTTACTTTTTGATATATTTTCACGAGTAATGCAATATGACAAGACTCATGTTTGAATTTATCTAGGCAACCAGAACACTCCATTCTATCATTCAATGAACCTCTATAATGGTATCCACATTTTTCCTTAACTCGTTGCATTCCCTTAAACAGTGTTCACAGTTCATCTAATGTAAGATTGTTTGAATTAATGAACCATCGCTCTTTCATAAGATGAGCAATACTTTCGGTGAAAATATATGTCCGTTAGATATTTATGCGTTCTTTCGTTTCACTTCTGCCTCTTACCGCTTCATTTTGTTCTGATTAGTATATATATACTCATTTATACATGCACGGGTGAGTCATACACAAATCTTGGAAGGAGGGATCCACTTGAGACCATAAATCCGCCCACTCACTTTTTTCAACAGATTCGTTTAGGAACTGTATATGCCGATAGATGTCAACACGGTGAACATTCTGATGTGATTTTAACAACATATTTCGTAGCTCATTTTCAATATTTTTTTTCACAATTTTGCTATTTTTTCAATAGGAACTGAATTGAGTTGTTCATTCATACATCTACTCAGCATGATGTATATTCGCTGAAATTGCGATTGATTACGTAAAACTCACTTAGCTATTAGTTTTAATTATTTTTACAATCAGTTGATAATGAAAATTGTAAAAATTCATAGTCACTTTTTCAATTTTTGATAAAAATGACTATACTTTCAGACATTGTTTTGAAATTATTTCGCTTAAAACAAAATACCTCATCGTGAATTTTTTACCATAGATAGACATGAGTTAGACCTACAAAAAATGTAACTGGACTAGGTCTCTCTGACACTGATCACTTTTGCTATAATAGGAACATGGTTCAAAAATGGTCGAAAATCACATTTCATAATCGATCTCTGCAAAATATCTTGATCAATCCAATTTGAATCGTTATGAATCTCTTCACTATACGTAGAACACTCATAGTCTTCACCAAATATATAGTTGATATGATGTTTCATATTTCATTGTTAAGTTTTCAACTTTCAACAGTTACTATCGTTCTGTTTTGTGAAAAGAAATATTTGAATGAGCCATCATTTTAAAGGTGAACATGACTAAGAATTCTAGTTCATGTTTCAGAACAGTGATTTATCTTTCTAATGGTTTTTTCCATTGCAATTATATTCACATTCACAAATTACTGCTATTTGTTTCTCACCAGCAATATGCATATTAGGTTGGAGCATAACTTCACATTGGGAGAATGTGTTGTATCATATTGATTAAAACGTAAAAGGAAAAGGCTCAACGGTGTCATTGAGTCAATGTTGTCCATGCTATCGAGGGTTGCCACTATTAAGAATAATGGGGTTAAGATTAAGGAAGTGAATAATCAGTCACTATGGAATGATATGATTTTGTATGGTACGTAACTACATCTGTCGATTTAGTTTTCACTTTGCTTTTTCATATATCGAGACACGTGTTATTGATCCCTGGATATTGAAGACGTTGTAAACCGTTCATTTTTGTATTATACAACGTTAAATATGCCAAGAGAAGCACGGTTTAAATGTGTTGGATGCGATAAGAGCATTGATTCTGATCGGAAGCAACTTGTTAGTGGTGGATTATGGAGGTTTTTTTCTTATCAGCACGATCATTGAAACGTGTTCACAACGATGATCCAGGGTGCTTTGACTGTCGTATGAAATACTTGAATTGGTTGAAGAAAGTTGACGAAGATTTCGATCATTTAAAAGAACGTGATGTTAATCACGATGAAAATTCTGATAATGTTAGTTCTAAATTCTAAACTTTCATATGAGAGCGTGTGTTTCGTTAAGGCTATGGAAACTGATGTTGATGGTGGTAATAAAAGCGATAAGTGTAGTGTAACTGAACAACACGTGAAAGGAGATACATCTGAAATTGCTATTCGTGTGCCACGTTGTACGAAGTCTCATCGGTAACTTGATGATTGATTATTTAATTAAAAATATTCGATTTCTAATTAAAATAGAAGTTGTATTGTATGTGAATTAAGTGACGAAACTTGTAAAGTATTGTCGAAACAACAACGTACATTGATCTTTGTAAAACGTGGGATCTTTATTTCTGAAGATGCTCGATGTTGTCCGTCGCACATATATAACAAGCAATTGAATTTCGATTCTTTGTGTCAAATTCGTGGTACCCATTTTGATAAATTGGTTTTCGATGCAAATCGTTTGGAAGAAATCATTGCTGACTTTCGCTTGATTGTTGATAATCTAAAAACGTTTGATTTTGACGATCCGTACTCATTGAGTGATATGGACTATTACAATATTACTGGATTGCATAAAGGTATTATTAAAAAATTAATATTTGCTTGCTTCAGGCTTTCATATTCTCATTGCAGATGAATTTGATATTGTAGTTGATAGTGTGGTATCAATGCGAGAATCACGCATAAGATCAAAACGTACTACTACTGCTCTGTTTTGTGCAAAAATGCGTCTTGGTTTAAGCAATAGTGTGTTGTCCACTATGTTTCATATTAAAGATGATAAAGTGGTGTCTCGAATCATACATCAAGTGACAGAAGCATTAATGAAGAATTTCGTTCCAAAACATACAGGCTTTCGACATGTTAGTCGACAGACAGTGCTGGAGCAACACCAAACATTAAAGGCCAATATGTTATTGACTAGCAATAATCAACAAGTAGTTGTAGTTATGGACGGTACATACTTATATCTTCAAAAGTCTGCTAATAATGAGCTGCAACGTCGCAATTATTCAACGCATAAGCATCGACATCTCATCAAACCGATGATCATAACAACCAGAGTGAGATGTTTGTTTGCCTTTTAGGGCAAGAGAGCGCTAGGAATTGTAATTTTGATTTAGAGTGGGTATATATTAAGCGTCCTTGGGCCGTTCTTTGGAGATTACAAAAATAACGATGCGAACATCATAACACACTGTCTTCTTACTAATGAAGATGATATGCTAAACTGCCCAGGTGACCAAAAGACTAGTAAAAAGACTAGTCTTTTTACTAGACAAGTCGGCCGTCCAGTCTAGTCTTTTTCTCAAAATGTCCTAGTACAGGACTAGTCTGAAATCTCGTATAGTCCATAGTGCCCGTCCGGACTATGAAAGTGACTGGAGTCATTCTATTTGTCATGCGTAGTCTTTTTCGAAAAAAAGTCTAGACATGCTGTACCATCCTGACGCCCGTCAAAAATATGATTCTAAATAAAAGTAAGAGCGTCCATGACGCTTTACATGACGAGTTGTGGTCTTATATAATGACGAGATCCTGACTAGTCTAAACTGAAATATTTTATGACTACAACTAGATTCGAACACACATACCAACTATTACTTACCCATCGTTCAGACCATTGAGCCATTTGATCGAGAGATCAATTTATCAGTATTTCTAGTCATTCTAAGATGCTTTAAAATACGAATTTTTTCTAAGTTTTATTCAATTTTTCATATGAATAAAAAATATTTTTTTATAAATGCAAAAATTATTCAGACGAAATTGAATAAAATAAATTGAAAACTGTGGTTATTGTATCTCATGTTTTTGTCTTGTTTTAGTCATTAATTTAGCAATTCAGCAGGACATTTTATTCAACAATTTTTTTCCTTCTAATATTTATTTAGATAATTCAGAATTCGGACTGACGGTGTACTTAAAAAATAGAATAATCTTTACGAACATACAACAGTTTATATTAGCCTAGGAACAGTCCTTCTAGCTACCATTTAAGGCATTTTCGGGTAGTGAGAATCAGTTTCCATCAAGTGATTTCTGCACGCATGGTATATGGAAGACACCCATTTGCATTTTAGAATATATACATAGACATAAGGCTTACTGTATTATGGACTGCCGTCAAGACGCCAGTCTGATTTTTAATAGTATTATAAGTGTCTCTAATGTTGTAATCTAACTTTCTTCTCCATTTTTTACAATATTTTCCCCTGCTATGGGCTAGTCCAGGTGGGAGTAAATGAATAAACAGACCAGTCTAGACGGGTAAAAGGACATACGGACTAGTCACAATAGATATGGAAGACGTATTAGACTAGACTTGACGGGTATAGCAGACTTTTTGGACTAGTCATGTCGCCCGTCCTCCCTATTTTTTTGCTCACTTGGGTGGTTGCAAGACGATGACATTATTATATTGGATCGTGGATTCAGAGACGCAGCTCCTACAATGCGAACGCTTGGCTTTCATGTTCAGATGCCACGTTTTCTCAATGGAAAAAAGCAGTTCACGACAGAAGAAGCCAACCAATCACGTTTAGTGACTGCAAATCGTTGGGTAGTTGAGAGTGGTAAGCATTAATTTATGGTAGAGAGAGCAGCCTATCCGAACGAATCTTATCTAGACACCCGATCTTTTCATCATATGCGGAAAAGTTGAAAAAAAAAATAAAAGCAGAAATATGAGAATATTTGTAGCTGTATGGGGAGTGAAAGCCATGCGACCGATATAACTGGTGTAGTTAATTCTACAGGATTGCCTTAGTTACTTATCTTTGCCTTTACTAGTTAATGGAAAAATCAAGCAATGGAAGTTCTTTAATCAAACTATTCAAAATTCTGCTATTCCATTCATTTCTTCGAGATTGCAAATCGTCTGTTCATTCATCAATGCCTTTAGCTCAAGAGCTATAATTAATATTGATGGTGGCTTCGAAGTAGCGAAGCAAATGATTAGTCAGTTGAATCAAAAGAACAAGCTACAAGAACGATTGGATCAGTTAAACGGCGAAAAACGCTTAACATGGAAAAAATATGATGCAACAATGTGCATTTTTCCATCAATGACAGGAAATGACGTTCAAGATATTTCTTTGGGCAAGTTGCAAACTTCCTGCGGTTTCTATGAATGTTCTTTCAAGTCTAGGAACTTACCAAATTCGTATGGCGAAAAGTTACATCCTAGAACATATTACAACATCGATTCTGAACGACGACGACCTCGAATTTATCGTCGAGCTTTGTCCCAAACAAAGCGATTTGGTTCGCGTGAGATTTCAGTCCGGACACTCAAATAACAAATGCCATACAGCAACTGTCCAGTTCAACGAAACAGTAATCAATCCTATTGTTGGATACTATTGTACTTGTATATCAGGTTCTCGCGAAGTTGGCTGTTGCTCCCATGTGGCTGCAGTTCTTTGGCACAGGGGTGTTCAACGAGCTGCTATCAATCCTGCTACGGATCCTTTATCGGCAGTTAATTCAATCCAATCTGTACATGACAGCATTTATCATACATTCGCCGATGAAGAACCAGATGACGACAATCATATTCGATATAGTTTGTATTCAAACGATCTTGATGATACAAGCACAATGACCCATTCTGATGATGAATAAATTGTTCGTATATAAGGTTAACTATAATCATCTCAAAAGGCTTTGGCGTAGTCGTACGTAAGTGGGTAACCTAAAACAAACTATCCTTCATATGTGTAACTAGCGAAATCAATTCATATACCTATTATAACCTTTCACATTCTCCCAATGTGAAGTTATGCTCCAACCTAATATGCATATTGCTGGTGAGAAACAAATAGCAGTAATTTGTGAATATGAATATATTCACATTCACAAATTACTGCTATTTGTTTCTCACCAGCAATATGCATATTAGGTTGGAGCTCCCAATGTGAAGTTATGCTCCAACCTAATATGCATATTGCTGGTGAGAAACAAATAGCAGTAATTTGTGAATGTGAATATAATTGCAATGGAAAAAAAGCATTAGAAAGATAAATCACTGTTCTGAAACATGAACTAGAATTCTTAGTCATGTTCAGCTTTAAAATGATGGCTCATTCAAATATTTCTTTTCACAAAACAGAACGATAGTAACTGTTGAAAGTTGAAAACTTAACAAGGCATATACAGTTCCTAAACGAATCTGTTGAAAAAAAGTGAGTGGGAGGATTTATGGTCTTAAGTGGATCCCTCCTTTATTTCTCACAAATAACGAAAAATATCATCTTTTGAACTCAAAATGAGAAATCTTTGGTGTTAATTTATTAAACTTGAGATTTCTTCAGAATCACGAGATACTTTTACTGATTACACAAGACACACTAAGTTGAAATGTGTCGAATGTGTCGTGATTTGCGACACAATGTACAATCAAAGTTCCTAATAACAACAGTCATTTCAGGGGTCTCCTTAGTTTTCTTTGTAACTAGATGATTGTCTATGAAAAGTTATACTTTTTAATAATTTTGGGCAGAAAAATATTTTCTAGATCGAACCCAAAAAATCAATTTTCAATCACCAAAATTGACCGAGTAATTATCGGTAGAATCTAAGAAATTGAATTTGTTGTTATTACGGGGCTAGTTCCTAATAACAACATACAAGCGAAAAAATGTTGCTAATAACAACCGCCAGCGAAGAACAAGCAAAAAATAAAAAAATTGATGAAACGCATGATTTTGCTATCTGAATTTCAAAATGTTGATATACTCCTGGAACAGCAAATGTTCCTTACCTTTTGATGTATATTTATCTCAAGGTTCGGATTTTTATCAATTAGATTGAGAAAGTTATTAAATTTTTAAAAATGTTAATTTTGTTGTTATTAGGAGCACTGATCCAAATAACAGCAGCTAGCAAAAAATTGTTCCTAATAACAACACACAAGTGAAAAATACATAGAAAATAATTTTTTTTACTAAATGGAGTTTTTCCATGGTTGAGCATGAATTCCTCTTTGTGCGTCTGTCACCAAAAATATTTATACATTAATAACCTGTAAATATCGAGCGGTTCTAGTAAAACGAAGTTTTCTTTTTTATGATAATGGCATAAGTTGAAAACTAATGTTGCTAACAAGTGGTGGGCTATCTAACTTAAGCTTACTCAATCTCGTGTGCATTTCATTTGATAGTATAGCAGTTTGCGATATATTCATATATTTTTCTTATCATATAGTTATGCAAGTTAAACTCCTGTATATCTTATTAAAGCGTTTTAAATAATTAATCTCTCGCCTAAATTTAATAAAAGCATTTGAGAAAAGTGAATTTCACAAAAACTTTAGTTTTAGAGAATAAAGTTGATTTATTTGAACGAAATTCATTACTGTTGTTCCGTTAAGTTCTTTTTATTATTTTTTTCAAAAGGTTATATAAAATAAATTACATGTTTTTGCAAATAGGTTCACGACAGTTATAATTACAATCAATATCATTCGAAGAAGAGAATGAAGAGAACAATTACTTTTTCAAAAATGACAATTATAAAACATTTCAACCGGTCATATAGAAACTGAGTAATGTTACTTACTTTAGTTCAATAAAAGTATATTAATTAGTAAAAATACAATACAATGTTGATATAATTATAGGATTTATAATGCACTAATTATATCCTCGATTGATTTCAGTGAATTTTCGCATGCTTATCTAGGGTACAATCATGAATCAAAACTATCTAATTAAAGCGACTTTTTTTTCAAATGTGAGAATAATTTAAAAAATATGAAAATTGAACTAAAAAAACATATATCATTGAGAAATTATTTGTTTTTGCATATAATAACACATTCAATATTGTATGAAATCGCTGAAGTAATAAAAATACAGTAAAAAAGACTTCCTTTCACTAGAACCGTTGGGCATTTACAGGTTAGTAATGTATAAAATATTTTTGGTGACAGACGCACAAAAAAGAATTCATGTTTAAGGATGGAAACACTCTATTTAGTAAAAAAAATTAATTTCTATGTATTTTTCATAGGATGTTGTTATTAGGAACAATTTTTGCTAGCTGTTGTTATTTGGATCACTGTTCCTAATAACAACAAAATTAACATTTTTTAAAATTTAAAACTTTCTCTATTTAATTGATAAAAATCCGAACCTTGAGATAAATATACATCAAAAGGTAAGGAACATTTGCTGTTCCAGGAGTATATCACAATCTTGAACTTGAGGTAGCAAAATCATGCGTTTTACTTATTTATTTATTTTTTCCTTGTTCTTCGCTGGCCTTTGTTATTAGGAACAGTTTTTCGCTCGTATGTTGTTATTAGGAACTAGCGCCCTAATAACAACAAATTCAATTTCTTAGATTCTACCGATAATTACTCGGTCAATTTTGATGATTGAAAATTGATTTTTTGGGTTCGATCTAGAAAATATTTTTCTGCCCAAAAATATTAAAAAGTATAACTTTTCATAGACAATCATCTAGTTACAAAGAAAACTAAGAAGACCCCTGAAATAACTGTTGTTGTTAGGAACATTGACTGTACGACACGTTCGAGTACGACATCAGGTGCTCGTTGCGATATATTATCTCCAGCGATGGCGCAACACGTTTTGTATGACACATGCGACACGTTCTGAAATCAGTTTTTTGAACCCACTAGCCTGAATTCTTTTTATTTTTATCAAAAAGATGATGATCGATTTTTTCGATTTTGGTCTATTGAACAGTTTCATTGCTGAAAATACATAACCTTCGTATGTTCAATCGAGTTCTCTATATAGGGCCTGTTACGCAAGAGGGAAGGGTGAATCGATAGTCGACACACAGAACGAGACAACATTTTTAGCAGCACTTTCTGTTACGACATATTTTCGACAGTGAACCTGCGATACTATTATTCGCAACACATATATACGACATATTTTAATTTAGTGTAAACTTTTCGCAAAAAAACGAATAATCCATCGAATTCTGTTCTTTAATACAACGATGCGTATCGTTTCTGAAAAGAAACTGCTCTGTCCAACCACGATTTTTCTCCACGCATAGACACATCTATATGCTTACGACGTGCATGATAAATATAATCATCAAGAGTTATGCATGTGTTAATGACAGCAGTTTATTGATGAAAGATTTTTTTCTTCATAGAATTATATCTCTGAACACTATTTCTTACAGAAATTTTAACCAAGAATACTTTTTCCGACGGAAATTGTTTTTAAGAACGAAACAGTGAAGACAATCAAAAACAGAATGATGTTAGTATATCGGCTACTTCTCATTTGCGAACATAAAGAGAATAGATTTAACTAAATTTACCATTACAATTTCGTTTGATTTTAAAGTTTATTATTTCGATTTTTTTCAAAACGATTTAAATTTAAAATTAAGTTTGAAAGAAAAATTTCGTTTGATTTAAATTTGACTAGTATTATTTTATTCCAAAAAGCGATTTTAAAAAGTTATTTTGACTTAACTAAGTTTACTGCAATTTCTAGTGGACGTAAGCTTTTTTATGATAAAAAGTTTTTGAAGTTTAAATAGTTGCTGCTATTTGCGGAGGACGTAAGTTTTTGACAATAGAAAGCTTTTCAGTTCTAAAACATTGCTGCAATTTGTAGAAGACGGAATTTTTTAGAATTGAAGAGAGTTCTTGTAAAGAAAATTAGTTCATTTTCTTAGTAACACGTTTTTTTCTAGTATAGAGTTCATTGCTTTAAAAGATTTGATTGAATACGTAGAGCATATACTTTGCTAATGACGAATATATTTTATCACCACATAGTTCAGTTGATTTCTAGAAATATGTGGATATGAAGATCAATAATAATCTAATTCTCTCATGAATAATGAATATATAGCAACTCCCTCCCCCTTCCCCATAATAGAAGCCCCCGGGGGCTTCTATTTTGTCAACCGCGCAAAATTTTTTAAGGGGGCTTCTATTAAGGGAGGGCTACTAATGCGATTTTCAGACAGAAGTTTAAAAAAAGTCAGAGAAAATAAAAAAAATCAATGACTCGATCTAGCTAAGTGAAAAAATCTTGAATTTTTAAATCTTTTAAGTTTTTGGTAGTATTTTTCACTCTTTTTATTTTTTCAAATTTTGAATCAATTGATTTTATATCCAGAAAATAAGAAAAATCAGATTTCAGCTGTTTCCCCTTGTAAGAGAGTCATTATTTCAATAAACTTGACTATTTCTTTTGCGATACGTTCAAATAATCTCACGAAAATCTGTGAAATTTTATCTTGAGAGACCAAAAAAAATGTATTATTCAATAAATACAAGCCCAGTGCTTCTAATCCGTTTTCATATCGACCTCTCTTGAGGGGGCTTCTAATATGGGGGTGGGGTTATTACAAAGACGAGCAAGAGCAAAAAAATGGGTCTACGTAAAAAGAAGCTGAGTCAAAGTTAAAATGCGTATTATATAGTTTAATTCTATCTTTTTTTTTCTTTTTGGATCAATTAATGATTATAATGCAAATATGGTATAGAGTTCAATTTGGCCTAGATGATAATTTTTCAAATCAAAGTAGAAATGCATATTGAGTCGTGCTTTTTCAATTCTTACTCATGAAATATTAGTGCTAAAATACGAGCAAGGGCAAAAATAATGGATTGAAATAAAGGAGGTTGCGTCAAAGGTAAGATGAGTATTATCTAGTTCTATTTCTATTGTTTCTTTCTTGCCGAATTTTTAGTCATAATAAACGAGCGAAGATCGTCAAAATGACAAAAAAACAATTGATATAAAAAATATTCGAATGACAGTGTAAATAGATCTTGACTATACCTTATAGATTGTATGATGAACCGCAGAGAAATAGATCATGATATTGATAGCAGTATTTTTCTCTACTGAATCTCATAAATTACATTTTAATTAACAAAAAACCAACACAATAGTTTAGCGTGCTCTATATATTACAGTTTATTCAATACAAATAATGAAATTCAATATTTACGCAACTCTACAAATTGCAGATAGTTACTAGCAAAACTGAAGATGTCAATTTTATTAAAATTGTTCTCAATTAATGTTTAATAAATAAAAAACGAAAATTTAACATTTTCGATTTTATGTTCGCAAATGAGAAGATACAAGTATCTCATCTAACGGATTATTCATTTTCTTGCACAACAAGCAAAAATACTCATTGTAGTCTCTTAAAATTGTGAGATGAGAAACGCATAGTAAAAAATGAATAATAAAGCAACAATCGTACTGATTCATGTTTGTTTTCATCCTGCCGCTAAAACATTTCACACAAAATTTTTATGTCGTATATAGAAGCTACACCAATTTTTCTTTAACTTCATTCTACACGGTAAACAAATGGCAGCAAATTGGAACGAATTGCTCGGGGAGCATTTGCTCAAACACGACGAGTCAAATCAATTTTTAACGAAACAGCTAGATGGCAAAACTGTAGCACTCTATTTTTCGTTAGTAAAATTGTTATTTTTCAATTATTTGTATCATTTCTTTCAGAGCTCATTGGTGTCCACCCTGCCGCAATTTCACACCAAAACTAGCTGAAATCTACAAAAAAGTTCAATCTGAACTGCAAGATAAATTGGATGTTGTCTTTATTTCGTGTGATGAAGATCAGAATAGTTTCGATGATTATTTTAAAGATATGCCATGGAAAGCATTGCCATTCTCTGGTATGTTTGTTTTCTACTTATAAAGTAGTACATGAAGAGAGAAAGAGGTAGAAACGAAGAAAACGGTACCCGAACGAGATGAAGAGATGAAAGTTTCGGACACTATAATATGATGCAAAACAACATTTATGTAGTTCGACACGTGTTTTTGTTTGTTTCTTTCTTATCGTACGGATCCAAAATTGATCTTTCTGCAACAGAATGTTTTTGCGAATTGAAGCTCAGGAAAAGAACTTTTTCAAACACTAAATGAAAGTGTCCAAATCGGACAACTGACATATGGATTGCACAAAAATATCGTTTAAAATGACAAATTTCAAAGAAGTTCGTCATTTTTTGAAATTAGAGATATAGGGGCCTAAAATAATCACAAGGATATTTTAGTATAATTCTCATGAATATTGAATCATTATAGTACGTGCCGTTTTTCTAAAAATATTTTAATACGTGTTTTTTTCTTTAAAAACCGTTGATAGGTTCTAAATAAAAGCGATCGTAATTTATAAAAGATACATAATATGAAATAAGGAAGCTGAATAAAGAAACTGTTTACCATTTTAAAAACAAACGATAAATTTGACCATGAATCTCTAGTTTAGATCGTGCTCGTTCTAAATCATTAGGCGAAAAATTTGAAGTTGGTGGCATTCCATGTTTGGTTGTTCTCACGCCAGCATGTGATGTTCTTACTGTTGACGGCGTTGAAGAAGTGCAATCAGCATCTGATGAAGCTGTGCGATTGTGGTCACAAGGGAAACGTCTCTTCTGGACGCGTCCACCAAATGAAGGTGAACATGTGTGGAACGGTGTCTCATGCACTTTATGTCACATGTATCCCATTGCCGGAGTACGTTATGGTTGTCCTCATCGGGATTGCGAAATAAACTTGTGTAACGATTGCATTTGCAAATATACGCATCAACATAGTATTGTGGAGTATCTTATACCTGGAAAACAATACTCATTTGAACAAATATTTGCTTCAGTACCTCATCTACTTGGCCCAACACATGATGAACGAATTGAAACAAAAACACTATGGGAAAATACTCCCAAAACTATTGGTATATATTTCTCTGCTGATCGATGTCCGCCAGATCGTGATATGACATCAACATTAGCCCAATACTATCTAGAAGCACACGCGAGCGAACATCCATTTCAATTAGTTTTTGTATCAAGAGATAACAATGAAGAATCGTTTAACAAATATCGTGCTCAAATGGCATGGCCTGTTTTTCCGTTCAATACTGAAGCTGCACTGGTAGAATATTTTCAATATCCGCGTCAGTACAATCTTCTTTTTTTTAAAATTCTTATTAGCAGTTTCATTTACTCTAGCCATGCCATCATTGATGATTATTAAAGCCGATGGAACCATTATGACTCGTCGTGGTCGTAATTATGTTTTAAGTAAAGGAGTTGAAGCTCTGAAAGCATGGGCACAAGGAGAAAAATTGCCTCCTCTACCGGCAACTGAATTCGAATGGTCGGGTGTCTATTGTGATAGATGCGAAATGTCCCCTCTGATCGGCCAACGTTATTATTGTTCGACATGCGGTAATTATGATCTCTGCTCAGCTTGTGAAAAGAAAGGTCACGATCATCCATTAGAACTTATACCGCAACCCGCTGATGATTAATACTGATGAAAACATTTTATTCTTATATATTCTTGCTTTCACTTTCACTTTCACTTTCGCTTTCGCTCATATGCAAACTCTTCACACATAATTTCAACTAGCATACTATTCATATTTTAATAATACATATTTTAGTGAACCATAAATTCGTCAAATCTATGTATAACTATATAATCACTAAGTATAAAAAATTTCTGTTGTGAAGAATTTATATCGATGTGTAGTAGATCATGACTTGAAAACATTTAAACTGAAATAGGGTAATCTGATTGCTATTTGGAGATTCAGTTTTGATCACGATTAAATTAAAACATCGAGTAGTATATTGAAGTACGTTTCTCTAAAGAATTCGTAAAACTTTTCCTAAGATCATAATAACTATTGATTCTAAACTTATAGAAAACTTGAAATTTTTCTAAAAAATTCTACTTGTTTGGTGATAATAGGAATCAATTCTGTAGGAAATGCGAATAGAGAAATGTAGAATTGATGTTGAAGAATTTAATCAGACCGTGCTACTGTTTCATATTTCAGATCTTGAAAAGGGTTTTGGTGCATAGACAAATTTCTAAAGGAAAAGTAGCGCTTATCGAACTCAGTATAATCTTAACTATCTCTACTTATGCTTTGCAGAGAACATCAAGATGTAATTATGATCGCTACTCAAACAGATTCTGAGTTTTCATTCATTCTGATGACTTTTCCTTCTGATTGACACAATAAATAAAATGCCATGTGTTATCTTCATTAACATCATTTATTTATATGTTTACAGAATAGATATAGGTAAATCTTCCATTTGGTGCTGCATCCCCTTTGTCAATAAAATTGAGTGGATCCGTTGAATACAACCGATCAGCAGAAAGCCACTTAAATCGTAAGATCATTATAGGACCCCAATATTAAGCATTTGATACAGTAGACTAAAATGTAATTCATTATTGCCATTATTGACGACTTTAATGGATGCATAATATTCCCATTGCCTCGGAAAACCTGCACTTTTTCTTAATTCACCAGTACCGATATCAACGACATAATCAAAATCGACGCCATCCTGCCTCATAGCTATTATCGATATTGAGTAATATCCAATTAAACACATTACCTTTTACCCACGGTTCACGTGCACGTGCATAAAAGTAGACAAATTTGGTATCTCGTGCTACTTGCATTACTGCCAAATGATTCCTTTCTGTAGTATCGGTAAATTGACCACCTTGATTTCCGTATCGGGGATGACTGCGTGATGGTATATCGAACAAATCATCAAGATAGAACGGTGCCACGCCATGGCATTGTGCAAAATCTTGATTGATAATAATTGTCTTTGGAGGCGATAGAGCTTCCAATGATTCCATACCTTGGAAACGGCGAATATAATGCACAAGTTGATAACAATAATTGTCACCGTGTTCTCCTGCCATTGGTTCAGCATCACACGAGTATTCTTGATTGAATTGATCGACGAAACAACTCGTGTTAAACTGCCCATGTTTTGCCAAGAAATGGCATTGACGAATTGGTTTGTAGGAAACATTGCGCAATCCATTCATTGAATCCTGTTACAAATATGAATGCTGGATCCATTTGAAGAGCATGTTCCCATTGCTGAGAAAAATATTTTCCTGAGGGTGAATCGACTTGATTAGGTTGCGCATGTGATGTGCCATCGAATGTGCGACCAATATCCGATACCGGATGACCAGCAATTGTCACACATGTCTGTTCGAGTTGACCTTGCTCGTTGAGACCACAACCTTGCAGATAATTGTCGATCCAAGGTCATTTTCCTCGACCGTCACCATACCAACTTTGACCTTGTGTCCATGCTCAAGACGTGCGAATCGCAAAGAAATTACGCCTTTCAGAATTAAGACTACTGGAATCGGCCAAAATAAGTGGTTTACCATTCCAACGAAGCCACAAATTGTTATAACGATTTTGTCGATAGAGATTCGGATAAAGATATTCAACAGTTTTTTGACTATTTGACCAAATAATAAAACAAAATTGTGGTGTACGAATATTTTTCCATCGCATATCCTTATAGATATTAGAGACGTGCACAGGGCAGGACGGTCTTGTTCTCCTGGTGTTATGTCCTGCCCTGCCCTGTCCTGTTCTATAGGACAATATGAGATTTAGATTTTTGTCCTGTCCTGCCGCCCGCCAGGGCCAAGGTAGCCAAGAGGACAGGCAAGGACAGGAGAAAAAAGTATGTCCTGTGCACGTCCCTGGTAGGAACTTGTTTTTGTGCATTTTCCTTTTTATTTATTTTGTGGTAAAACACTGCCTATTTGTTATTATTTCTTTAAATAGTATCAGGTTTAAGTTATCACATTCATGCTACAATCAATCTTGTTCATATTCTTTTTTGTCGCGTAAGTTAAGATATTTTTCTATTTTATTGTATTTATTAATTAGTGATAATTTAAAGTGTATTTGAAAATGATGTCAAATAAATTACGCCTAATATTACTAATACTAATACTTACATGGATCGAAAACAGCCCGGGTTTGGCGTTCGAACTGTGGACTCATAATTAGTTTTCAGTCACTAGAAAAATGGGAATAAATCAGTAACGCTAACCAGAGCATGACTTTAACGTAGCGTCCTGCCGCCCGCCCGCCAGGGCCAAGGTGGGCAACAGGAAAAGCAAGGAAAGGAGAAAAAATTATGTCCTGTGCACGTCTCTGATAGATATCACCAATTTTAGACCACATGTTATCATAGGCATATGGATTGGTTACATCGAATATGAGTGTATCAACACCGGCATCTCCTATCATTTGTGCGTGTTTCCGAGTAACAAAATCGTCGCCCATCAAGTAATAGTCTAAGTATGGCTTTTCCTAATGATGAAACTCATGAAGGAGACATCATTGAGGATTTATCAAATTTTCACCAGCTTCATTATCTATCCACAAAAACAAAAGATATCTACGTAATTTACTCGATTTCTTGTTTCACGCTTTCTGATGTGTAGGCAAAATCCAACCGAGTCCATCGGATGCCGTCCATGTATCTGGTCTTGGTGTGAACGGTCCCATGGTCATCACAATCCATTGAATGCAAAGAAGAAATACAATAGAAAACATCGTTTTCTCTCTCTGAAACCGAGGGCAGCTCTTTGAATTACTTAAAAAGACACAAGTTTCCTATTAGATACGAGTGAAATTTTAATACGAAAGCCTGCTTCTCTTTCATCAGTAGTTACATGATATCGATATTTTTCGGTCATGTGTAGGTAAATCAATTTGGACTATCATTACCTCAGAATCAACTTCGTTAGTTGACATTGAAAACAGCGAGGTGATAAAGTCAATTATAGACTAGGTGACGAATAAATAACAAAGATTATTATGATACTTGTTACAAGAAGTAAACTATTTTCACCATCCTTTTTTTTTGAAAAATTCACAGGTGGCAAGGTTTAGAGCTATGAAATGTGGAACATGGCGAATGTATCAAAATGGGAGAGTATATTGCTACTATTATCATATGAAAGTTTTTACCCACTCAAATGGTTCTTCAGATAACTTTGCCTGCCGCTATTAATTGTCTGTTTATCAATACTAGCATTCACATTCACATCCACAATCAACATGATAACTAGCTGGTTTTATTTTATTGCTTACATTCTTCAAACTGAAACTAAAGTTTTCCTTTTTTTAAATTAAAGACACATATTGTTGCTTTTTTAAATAAATCAGCATTCACTTAAAGAAAACATCAACAAATTAATTATGATTATTATTAACAGAAAATTATGTGAGCTCAATAATGTACAACTACGTATAAAACGATTTTGAAATCAGCGTGAGTTCACTGCATATGTGTAATACTTTATAATTTTTCTTACAAGTCATTACTGCGCCGAATAAAAATCTGAAATTTAATTATGAAAAAGGTTCCTATTTGTTAGTAATTAATTATTGCACTGTTTAGAAGTAATTAAAAACAGTTCAATGTAGACAGATTCCGTGCATTCTCACATCGTATTTTTGCATGTTACGTCAGCTTGTTTTTTTAAATATAATCCTATTTGGCATTCATTATACACTTCTTCTTTTTTAGCTATGAACTCATATTTTAGATTCAATAAGTGTAGATACTGTTTCCATCATAAATATGCGTATGATTTTTAATATGTATATTACTTTGTTTATACATGCATTTATATGTTCTTTATTGTTCATAATTGTACTCTACTTATTTGTTGTCATACATAAGTAATCTTTGTAGTACAGATAACTTCAAGTGTTCTATGAGCGTGAATAAGATTTTGAGTATTTCCATGTGAAATTTGATTCTGTATCAATTTATATATTCAATAGATGTAAAAGTTATGAAAACTACAAATAGGATAGCTATTAAAGTGTTCCTTTTCCTAATATTTAATTAAACAAATAGCATTACTGTGTTGCTATCATATATGTTAGCATAATTTAGAGCCTAGATAAAACTGAAACATCGCATCGCAACGCAACACAAAGCATCGCATTACATCATACTATTGTTATATGACAGACTATTTTTTATTGTAATAGAGAAGGGAATCGGTTCCGTTCTTTAACTCCGTCATCATACTAGATGAATTATTGTGTGATAGGTAAACACTATAGGAGTATTACGCAATGCATACGAATGTTGTCGATATTGGTTTCGATTATTCTTGTTAAATAAAGTAAGATGTATAAATACTTGACCTGAATTTAGACTGATTTTACTGGAATAGGATGCTAACTTCGCCTACTTTCAGTTGTGTCCATTTCACACAGAACATAAGCTTATATACGTGAGAAGAAATATGAAGAATAGAGGATTAAGTGAACAGACAGTTATTATCAATCGTAGGGTGAGAGTGTTTAGCAAGACAGTTTCCATTTACTTTCACAACACTAAATCAATAGAAAAACATATAGTATTTTACTTTTTTTTTATTTAATTCGTAAAGAAATAGATGCAAATTTTATATTTTCTATCTATTTTTTGCTGGATATTATTGATGTCCCTGTAGACATAGCATTTACTCTAGAAGAAGTTATCTATTCGTTAGGACTAGCTAGGATTTTAATAATTGTTATGAATCTATTTTTCATGCGGTTACTCTGTGTATTGTAACTGAATAGTGCTTAGAATATAGCTGTGAATAAACGTAGTGACAGCTTGAAATGAATCAATCATCTAATATTTCCGCTCTCGATAACCCTCTTGAAGACACAGGTTGTATTTATTAACAATAGTCAATGTGTCTTCGATGCCTTTTTTGATTTTTTTGGTTTTCATATAACACGGGATCAAAAGGAAATCATAATTGAATAAGCTGGAATATTAAGATCCGATTGAAAATACAGTTAATCTTAGCTGTTACACGCCAGAAACGAATACACATTATGCTATTAGTCGGTCTATTGTTTGATATGAAGATAATAAACTTTTTCACTATCAATGCGTAAGAAAACAAATTGTTGTATAGCATACTGATTAGTACATATGTGTCTCTGAAACTGTGAGCAAACTGTAAGAGTCCATAAAGAATCTATAGGAATATCCATGAAAAATTATGCTTAGTATGACTGTCAAGAATGTATCCTATTGGTTTTGCACACAAGAGATTATAATTGAAAAAATCGAAAGACTGATACAGAAAGAAAGAAAGAATACCCAAATACCTTTCGGTGTAGGGTGAGACAAAAAAACAAAAATACAACAAACACATAAAAATAAAAATAAAGTTAGTATTTTTTTGGTTGTTGGTCAGTCAGATCACATCTTGCCATCTTCCAAATGAATTGGGTTTAAATAGTAATCATCATAACACCAAGAAAGAAAGTCAGGATTTTGCTTTCATTTCACTTCTTCCATATTTTGATGTTGTTCTTCTTACACCAATGAGTTGCACACACTCTTATATGACCAGTTATTCCTTGCGGTTTGAACTTCTTTTTGCAGTTGGGACAGTCATACCTGTTGTGGCAATCTTTTACCAACACTTCAGTCGCCTTTCGCTGAGGTTTTCCATGTGAAATGGCTAATTCTTCTGCTCTTCTTTTCTTTGAAAGATCTTTGAACTCTTGTATAATTGACTTAATGTTTGAAGGAACAGGATTCATTGTGACATGTCTATTAATTATTTCACGCCACCTGTCTTTATCTTTGGTGTCTTTCCTCCAATTTTTTATGTCGAATTTCTCGATGTCATCCATGATCTTGTTTTCCCACCTTTTTCTTATTCCAGTATTTGTAGGACGTTTTTCACCAGGGAAATATGAAAACATAATTTTCTTAACTAAATGTGGCCCATTTTCATTTTCCATACGATTTGCATGACCAAACCATCTTAATCGATTTCGTCGCATAAGATTTTCAATTGAAGGTTGGCCAGATAGTTGCATTATTGTTATATTTGCTACACGATCTCCCAGATTCAGACCAAGTATCGTTCTTAAACATTTCATATAGAAAGTGCTGATTCTATTTTCTTGAACAGCAGTCAGTGACCAAACTTCGCTACCAAACAATAGGACTGGCAGG